TAAAATCTCCCATTACACACACACACACACACACACACACACACACACACACTTGTGAGAGTAAAGCATGTAGTTTTTGGTAAAACATTTCCTGATGGTCGTTTGGGGCATAGATCTTAGTTTTCTTAATGTTGAGTTTCAGGCCAACTTTTGTACTCTCCTCCTTCACCTGCATCAAGAGGCTCTTTGTTCCTCTTCACTTTGTGCCATGAGAGTGGTATCATCTGCATATCTGAGGTTGTTGATATTTCTACAGCAATCTTAATTCCAACTGGTGATTCATCTAGCCCCACCTTTCTCATGAGGTGCTCTGCATATAAGTTAAATAGGCAGGGCAACAGTATACAGCCTTGCCGAACTCCTTTCTCAATTTTGAACCAATCAATGGTTCCGTGTCCAGTTCTCACTGTTGCTTCTTGACCCGCATATAGGTTTCTCAAGGGACAAATAAGATGGTCTGGTACTCCCATCCCTTTAAGAACATGCCACAATGTGTTGTGATCCACACAATCAAAGGCTTTAGCATAGTCCATAAAGCAGAAGTAGATGTTTTTCTGAAACTCCCTAGCCTTCTCCATGATCCAGTGTATGTTGGCAATTTGATCTCTAGTTCCTCTGCCTCTTTAAAATCCTGCCTGTACTTCTGGTAGTTCTTGGTCCACATACTGCTGGAGCCTAGCTTGTAGGATGTGGAGCATAACTTTGCTAGCACGTGAAATCAGTGCAATGGTACGGTAGTTTGAACATTCTTTGGCATTGCCCTTCTTTCGGATCAGAATGTAAACTGACCTTTTCCAATCCTGTGGCCACTGTTGAGTTTTCCAAGTTTGCTGGCATATAGAGTGTCGCTCTTTTAAGATTTTGAATAGCTCGGCTGGAATACTGTCACCTCCACTAGCTTTGTTGTTGCTCAGACTTCCTAAGGCCTATTTGACTTCACATTCCAGGATGTCTGGCTCAAGGTGAGTGACCACCCCATCGTGGTTATCAGAGATGTTAAGCTCTTTCTTGTATAGTTCCTCTGTGTAATCTTGCCACCTCTTCTTAATCTCTTCTGCCTCTGTTGGTCCCTGCCATTTTGGTCCTTTATCATGCCCATCTTTGCAGGAAATGTTCCCTTCATATCTCCAATTTTCCTGAAGAGATCTCTGGTCTTCCCTATTCTATTGTTTTCTTCTATTTCTTTGCACTGTTCATTTAAGAAGGCATTCTTATCTCTTCTAGCTATTCTCTGGAATTCTGCATTCAATTGGGTGTATCTTTCTCCTTCTCCCTTGCCTTTCGCTTTCCTTCTTTCCTCAGCTATTTGTAAAGCTTCCTCAGACAGCCATTTTGCTTTCTTGCATTTCTTTTTCTTTGGGATGGTTTTAGTTGCTTCCTCTTGTACAATGTTGCGAACCTCTGTCCATAGTTCTTCAGGTACTCTGTCTATCAGATCTAATTCCTTAAATCTATTTGTCACCTCTACTGTACATTCATCAGGGATGTGATTTAGGTCATACCTGAGTGGCCTAGTGCTTTTTCCTACTTTCTTCAGTTTAAGCCTAAATTTTGCAACAAGAAGCTCATGATCTGAGCCACAGTCAACTCCTGGTCTAGTTCTTACTGACTGTATAGAGCTTCTCCATCTTTGGCTGCAGAGCACATAGTCAATCTGTTTTCTGTGTTGACCGTCTGGTGAGGTCCATGAGTAGAGTTGTCTCTTGGGTTGTTGGAAAAGAGTGTTTGCTGTGACCATCATATTCTTTTGACAAAGTTCTACCAGCCTGTGCCCTGCTTCATTTTGTACTCCAAGGCCAAACCTGCCTGTTATTCCAGTTATCTTTTGGCTTCCTATTTTAGCATTCCAATCCCCCATGATGATAAGGACATTATTTTTTGGTGTTAATTCTAGAAGGTGTTGTAGGCCTTCATAGAACTGGTCAACATCAGCCTCTTCAGCACCAGTGGTTGGGGCATAGATTTGGACTACTGTGATGTTGAATGGTTTGCCTTGGATTCGAACTGAGATCATCCTGTCATTTTGGAGATTGTATCCCAGTACTGCTTTTCCTACTCTTTTATTGACTATGAAGGCTATTCCATTTCTTCTGAGGGATTCTTGCCCACAGTAGTATACCTGATGGTCATCTGAATTAAATTCACCCATTCCTGTCCATTTTAGTTTACTGATTCCTACTGATGTTCAGTTTTGTCATCTCGTTTGACCACATCCAGCTTGCCTTGATTCATGGATCTTACATTCCAGGTTCCTATGGAGTGTAGATCTTTGCAGCATCGGACTTTCCTTCCACCACCAGATACATCTGCAACTGAGTGTCCTTTTGGCTTTGACCCAGTCACTTCATCCTTTCTGGTGCTACTAGTACTAGCCCTCTGCTCTTCCCCAGTAGCACATTGGACACCTTCCGACCTAAGGGGCTCAACTTTCGGCATCATATCTTTTTGCCTTTTGGTACTGTCCATGGGGTTTTCATGGCAAAGATACTGGAGTGGGTTGCCATTTCCTTCTCCAGTGGATCATGTTTTGTCAGAGCTCTCTGCTATGACCTGTCCATCTTGGGTGGCCCTGCACGGCATAGCTCATAGCTTCATTGAGCTACTCAGGCCCGTCCACCACAATAACGCAGTGATCCATGAAGGAGAAGGCCCAGCTTAGGGTTGGGTTAAAAAATACAGATTTCCCTTAAGGTGCAGAGTTGTTCAGTGTATTTAGGAAAGACAGAAAGAGTTGTGCAGGAAAAACTCCAAGAAGTGGACATTGTGGGAAGCTCAATTATGGCTGGCATATTTGGTGCCTGTATTAGGGCTCAGGGTAAGGCCCAGCTTAGGGTTCAGGTTAGAAAAACAAAGTTTATCCTCATGTTGTAGTGGCCTGCAGGGTGTTCAGGAAGGGGAGATACAATGAACTGTGCAGAAAAATCTCAGGGAGTTGTATATTGTGGAATTCCATATGCCAGCAAGTATATTTGAAACCCTTATGGGGGTTTGAGGCTAAAGATCGGCTTAGGGTTTGGTTAGATTTGATCAGTTTCCCCTGAAGGTTGGAAGGTTTAAAAGGAGATCAGGAAGGCTAGAAAGACAGAGCTGTGCAAAAAACACCTCCACAAAGTGAACATTCTGGAAATCCGAATCGTGGCAGGTATATTTGATATATTAGGGATAGGGCTAAGGCCCAGCATAGGGTTCAGGTTTGATTTGATCAGCTTCCCCTGAAAGTGTAGAGGCTTAAAAGGTGATCAGGAAGGCTAGAAAGACAGAAGTGTGCAAAAATAGCTTCAGGAAAGGGGACATTTTGGAAACCTGTATCTTGGCAGTGGTATTTCAGGCCTGTTTTAAGGTAAGGGCTAAGGCCCAGCTTAGGGCAAGGGTTCAATTCAATAAGCTTCCCCTCAAGGTTGAGAGACCTCAAAGGTGATCAGGAAGGCTAGAAAGACAGAAGTGTGCAAAAAAAAAAAAAAAATCTCCAGGAAGTAGACATTTTGTAAACCCGTATTATGGTAGGGGTATTTGAGGTCTGTTTTAGGATTGGGGCTAAGGCCCAGACTTGGGTTAGGGTTCGATAAGATAAGATAAGCTTCCCCTGAAGGTTTTGAGGCCTAAAAGGTGACCAGGAAGGCTAGGAAGCCAGAGCTATGCAAACAAATCTCCTGGAAGTGGACATTTTGGAAACCTGTATCCTGGCAGTTATATTTCAGGCCTGTTTCAAGGTTAGTGCTAAGGCCCAGCTTAGAAACATAGAAACAGAGGGAGTCAGAATGGGTCTCCTGGGCCATCTAGTCTGACCCCCGGCTCCAGCCGGCTCCGCTCACGACATGCCCACCATGTGCATGTCTAGGGTTAGGATTTGATTCGATCAGCTTCTTCTGAAGGTTTAGAAGCATGAGACATGATCAGGAAGGGTAGAAAGGCAGAGCTGTGCAAAAATATCCCCCCAGAAGTGGACATTTTGGAAACCCGTATTGTGGCAGGCTTATTTGAGGCCTGTTTTAGGGTTAGAGCTAAAGCCCAGTTTAGGGTTAAGGTTAGATTCAATAAGGTTCCCCTGAACATTTGGAGTCCTAAAGGGTGATCAGGAAGGCTAGAAAGACAGAGTTGTGCAAAAAAGTCTTCAGGAAGTGGACATTTTGGAAACCCATATCATGGCAGTTGTATTTGAGGCTTATTTTAGTATTAGGGCTAAGGCCCAGCTTAGTGTTAGGGTTAGATTTGATAAGCTTCCTAAAAGGTGATCTGGAAGGCTAGAAACACAGAGCTGTGCAAACAAATCTCCAGGAAGTGGACAGTTTGGAAACCCATATTGTAGCATGATTATTTGAGGCCTTTTATTAGGGTTGGGGCTAAGGCCCAACTTAGGATTAGAGTTAGATTCAATAAGGTTCCCCTGAAGGTTGAGAGGCCTAAAAGGTGAAGCCAGCGGTGTGCAAAAAAATCTCCCGGAAGTGGACAGTTTGGAAACCCACATTGCGGCAGCTATTGGGGTCAATACAAATGCCCTGGTTAGGGTTGCAGTTAGAATAACTAAGCTTCACCTTAAAGGAAGCTTCACCTTAAGGTTCAGGGGCCTGCATTGTCATCAGGAAGGGCATATAGAATGAACTGTACCAAAAACCATCCGAGAAGTGGACAGTTTGGATATCCATATTGCACCAGGCTTGTTTGAAGCCCCTATTAGGGTTAGGTCTGAGCCATCTCTTCCAAAATGCAGAGTAAGATTTGGGTGTAGTAGGAGTGCTTGACCCCCCTCCCCCTCATGCCAGCTACGTTCTGCCTGCATCTGTGGCTTCACTAGTGGCTTTTACCTCCATTAATTTTCAGATTTTTGTTTGGAAAAACCAGGAAAGGGAACTCAAAGCAACGGAGGGATGAATCTCTAAATCTCTGGATGCATGTAAGCATGCAGATTTTCTGAATTGTGGCCACAGTTAATCAAAACTGAGAAATCTGTGATGTGATTGTTCAATTTCCTTCTCCCCCCCCCCCCACCCCTGTTTCAATAGGGAGAACGAGGTCCTGAAGGCAGGCCAGGATTCCCTGGTGTTGCTGGGCGCCCTGGAGATGCAGTGAGTATTCTGTGACTTTCCTTCTTTATGCAGCACTTGCAGTAGGGGAAGTGCAGGGGTGTCATTTCCGATTTAGTCGCAGGAGATGGACAAAGAAATTCTAGCAAGAGCCAGGCAACAAAGAAGACTCAAAGAAAAACTCATGCTGAAATGGCAAAATAGCTATGTATTCAAAGAGCATGTGATGTAGTTTTTTTCTTTTTATGTCTCAAAATGAGTATAATAGTGTTATCAACACAGAGGTTAAGAGGCACTTACATGCCCCCTCCCCACCTTTTCTGCAGTACCTTTGTTATTTATTAGATTAATATTCTGCCTAGCTCATAAATACTCCTGGAGTGGGTTACAGTAATAAAACCCCAAAGCAACAATAACAACCCAAACAATAGCATCCATGAAAATAACATTAAAATGTTTTTAAAACATTGAAAATATTAAAAAGTCAGCAATAAGACTGAAAATACAAACATAAATTAAGGCTTAAAAGCCTGTGAAAAAGGGGAGGGTCTTAATCTGGCATATAAAATGAAGACATGAAGTAGATCGTTCTGGAAAGGGCATTCTACAGATGGGGGTAGGGATCCTGTTGAGCAGGGTCTTTCCTTGGTGATTTGCCTGCCACACCATTGTGAGCAGCACAGAGAAGGTCCAGTGAAGATGATCTGGACATTTGGGCAGGAACATGAGGGAGAAGGGACACCATGTAGACTGATCTAAGCTGTTTGGGGCTTTAAAGCTCAGCACTGACTCTTTGAACCAGGCTGGGAACTGAATGGCAACCCATAAAGTTGAAGAATCAATGGAGTCATATGTTTGAAGTGGCCATTAAAAAACATTTGTGCCTCTGCTATGCATGCTTTGCACATTGTGTATAAAAACCACTCCACATAAAGAACCAACTCAGCCTGAGTGGGCCTGCGATGTAGATTCTCCTGAAGATTTACTCTGAACCATGGACATGTAGGCCATTAAATTAAGGTATTATTTTATTTGTTCCATGCAATTAATTATGGCTTTTAAATTAAATGCAGGGGTTAAAAGGAGATAAAGGTGATCTAGGTCGCAAGGTAAGAAGCTGCATCCATTATAACTGAAAGTCAGTTTGGATCTCACTAATCCATAAACAGACTTTTTGTTAATATAATTTTTTGATTGAAATAGGGTGAACCAGGACAAGATGGTGCTAGTGTTGTGGGACCACCAGGGCCACCTGGACCACCAGGTCCCTTGATAACCATTCCAAGGGTAAGTATTATTTAGCTAGAGTTAATAGCATCACTACTCTGGTGCATTATTAATTAGAATGACCTTTTCTATTTTTCTGGTAGAACCCCTGTTAATGTTTTCCACTTCTGGAATTTGTGTCCAGTGACTGCTTCCAAATTTGGTAACATCTCTACCCAAATTCTGGAAAGCCATTCAGGAACTCTCTCAAGCTGTTTGTCAGGTCTATTCCAACCCAGTCAGTAGAATGCACTACTTTGTATGGGAGATGGAGTAGACTATTTGAGCTGGATGAGGGTCCTGGGTAGTCATTGCGAAATGCTAACCTGAGCTTAGTGTCAGGAACTGGGGCTAGCAACAGGTCCAAGATGCTACTCTGCTGAGCTACTCAGGTCAGATACCTAGCATTTGTCCTAGGCTTGGTTTCCACAGGCCTCATGCAGTTTGATAATGGCAAGGGCCACAGCTGCTCCCTTTTGGGCCTGAAGGTACCTCTGAGGCCTGAGCCCACAGAAGCTGGATCCTATCCTCTGACCATGATGTTTGTAGTAGAATCTGGGACTCAGTGGCAGAAATACACTTGCTCCTTGCCCCAACTTCTGAGGTCACTCAGTCTTGACATGGAGGTAGTCATTCCCCTTTTCTAGAGTTTTTCCAGTTTGCAGCTACAGTTTTCCAAGCCTGTTCTTCAGAAATTGAGCACTGAGTCAAAATTTCTACAGAAAATTTGGTTCTGAAGCCTCTGGAGCAGGATATACTCTCAGGCGCATGTAGGGCGGGGGTGTGCAATCAGCTGGGCAGCACTGCCAAAACAGGGAATAAACAAGAAAAGGGATATTAATGGGCTCTGGGGAGGATGAGAAGAGGGTAAAGATTCCTGGAACAGGGAAGAGGAAAAAGGGGGAACCATTCAGCAGACCAATTGTGAACAGGATGCCTACATAGAGAAGGAGTGATGGTGCCTGGTATGCATGCCTGGAAGGAGAGGTAGAACTGCTGGGTAACAATTGCAAACAGATTCAGTTATGATCATCTGTCAGAAATACCATGGCAACCACCAATCATGGCAACCACCTACCATTGTTTGTTGTGGTATGCAAACCCACCCACTGTGTAGTTATTGAACAGGTTCACATTTTGTCCTGGTGACTTAACATGTTGTCAGAACTGGCTTATTTGAGGATGCTTATAAGCCCAGGTGCAGGATGTATAAGATTTGTACTGAGAGAAGTCCCAGGAACTTCTCTCTTGCAAATGTTCCTCATCTGCTAGGCTTAATCATGGTCAGTGCAAGCCAAGCAGCCTTCAAAACACAAGGTTAGACAAAACTTCTTTAGTATGAGCTATGTCAAGCCTGATGGCGGTACTAAGCCTTAGTAGAAAGGCCAGTAAAAATTTGCTTGAGAAATGGACACACCCAAAGAAGGTATCTTATGATTCATGAAGCATGATTAAGGGATTTAGAACATTATACTTGCATTGGTCCATAATGTTGCTTCATCTTACAAAAAAGACAAGTTCCAATTTGTCCAATGTGTGTCTCCTGGTATATGTAGCATTTATTATGTATTTACCATATGTGTCTTCCCTCCACATGTTATTGTGGTCACTGCAGAAACATGTACAGTGGTACTTCAGCTCACGAATGCCTCAGTTCATGACCAAATCAGGTCGCGAACAGAATTTACAGAAAAAATTTGCCTCAGGTCACAAACTCCGCATCGAATGACAATCACTATCATCTTCCCTGCACAAGTGCAACCACGATCGCATTTGGGGGGCAGGGGAGATGGCCACGCTCATGCTCAGGGTGGTGGGGGAGATGGCCACGATCTTTGTCATTTGTTTTTTGTCATTTTGCTTCAAATTTTTGTGATTACAAAAAATTACAGAACAGATTAACCTTATTTACATTGACCCTTATGGGGAACTTTGACTTGGCTCACGACCAATTTGGGTCATGACCAGAGTCCTGGAACGGATTAAGTTCATGAGCCAAGATACCACTGTAGTTCATAACATGGTCAAAACTGATCTCACAGTGGTATTGCTTATAGCTCCTTTGTTTCAATCCTCATAGTACCCACTGAGTTTTTCTTTTCTTTCTTTCTCCTTTCCTTTCCTTTATTCTTTTCTTGTTTTTCTTTGGTGCCATATGTATTTTGCTGGAGAGATATTTTTTAACAGAAAACAGCTTATATTTTTTTCTAGTCCACAGCTACCAAAGAAAATCAATACTGTTTTATGAAAAGGGATAGAAAATCAGTATGTGCTTTTGACAGACTGTTTTCCTTTTTCTTTCTTAGAAATAATCAGTGGGAAATGTTGTATGAACTGAACCCTTCTAGAACATCCATATATGTGGATGTTCTAGAAAAACACAAAATGTTTGCCCTTTCACTGATTCCATATTTTTATTTTTAGTCACTCTTCAATACTTCAGATGGAAATTTTAACATCACTGGAATCAAAGGACCTCCAGTAAGTATATTCTTCTGTATTAAATCAGGGTGGTTGGATCTCTTTGAGTCCAAAGGCCACATTCCATTCAAGAGAAACTTTTGGGGACCACATTCCTGTGGTGGACAGGGCTGAAAACAAAAGGGAAAGGAAAGCAAAAATACTGGCATACTTTAGTTTGAACATTTTGTTGCCAGGAATTATGCCTTAGCATAGGCATTTTAAATTGTTAGAATGGGGGAAAAGGCATACAAGCTGTGGAAAATCAAATGATTGGCAGTTGGGGAAAAGGAGATTCTTGACCCAAGACAAGGGGACATGGTCATTTAGAGAAAACAATGTTTTCTTTTGTTAGAACATGCAGAATATAATTGAGAAGCACTTAAGCATTGCAAAAGAAAAGGAAAGACAGTGGAGATTTGTATAAAACTTGCATATGCCATTGTATAGCTAGAGGTACAAGATTGGAAACAATTACTATAATTTAAATAGAAATACAATATGTTGTACCACAATGGGGCAGATAGTGATCAGAGACCTGTTGTGCTGCTCATTCTGCTGTCTGGGTACCTGCTGTTGATGGACAACTTCCAGGCTCCAGGTTAATCTACCTTCTTATGATTCTTTGTCTCTGAACCAGGAATTGACTGGAAAGCCCTTCAGTCTACCTAAGAGGAAATCTTTCAATAAATTATGTCCTCTGTAAGGAAGGACAGATGGCCATCCTAAATATAATCAAAAGAAAGGTTGGGGAATGTTAACTTCAAGCTCTGAATTTAATGTGCAATTGGGAAAAAAAAACTAAAATAGGAAAACTAGTTTGTAACATTAAGAATGTGAGGAATTAAATTCAATAAGCTGCACATAAGGCGGCATCAAGCAAGACCTGTTCAACCCAATGCAATGCAGCCTGTGGCCACTTCTACCACTGCCTTCCTTCTACCACTGACTTCTACCACTGTCTGCCTTCCTGCCTACTTTCCAGAGCCTCTCCCTGGAGGCAGCTTAAATCAATAGTCTAATTTTCTTGTAGACCACTGGGAAATGCCCCCCAGTTCTTTTTCTACATGGGAAATTCATGTGCTGAGCTTCTTTACATCCCTATTCAACATCCTTCCTAGTTAGCTTACTAGCTATTATTTTCTCAGAAAATCTTAGCCAAAAAGTTAAAAACAGCACAAATCCTTGAACTAACAACTAGCTCCGAACCTTAAACAGTGAATTTGCATTTAAAGATTGGACATAGTATTCTGATTTACAGGGACTTTCATCAAGTCAAGGAAATCTAATTAAATTATATGAGTTTTAAATCTGCATCCGTTTCTGTACTAGTAAAGCAATTGATTTGAAGAGGGAAGATGCATATCTCTTTTTTATGTAATGCATGGGTGAATCAAGGCAAGTTCTACATGTGAGAAAAAACAGAATATATCTTCTCAAGGCAGTGACTTCTAGCTACAGCTGACACACACACACACACACACTGGTACCTCAGCTCACGAATGCCTCAGTTCATGACCAAATCAGGTTGCAAACAGAAATTTCAGAAAAAAATTGCCTCAGGTCATGAACTCCACATCGGGTGATGATCACAATCATGCCCATCTTCCCTGCACAAGCATGATCTCAGCCTCTCCCTGCCCCACCCCCAGCACAATCGCTATTGCTCAATTATCGTTTGGACTCTCCCTCCAAACAATAACCTGCCCCCACCACCTAGGTTTGTGTTCTTTACTGTACTGTACTTTGTTACTATGTTGTTCTTTGTTACTTTGTTTCAAATTTTTGTGATTAAAAAAAAAAATTACAGAACGCATTAACCTTATTTACATTGAATCTTATGGTGAAATTTGACTTGGCTTGCAACCAATTTGGGTCACGACCAGAGTCGTGGAATGGATTAAGTTTGTGAGCCGAGGTACCGCTGTACATGTATTAGGAAGAGATAATGATCTCTCTGATTAACTGCAAGCACTTTTTAATCCATAAAGAAGATTTTAAATTATAAAGGATGCAGTGCTGTCAGTTGGGCCCTCAATAATTGGAATTCCCTAAACTTAGAGGTTGCAATGTATGGCTGTGAAAGCTGGACCATAAGGAAGGCTGAGCACCTAAGAACTGAGGCCTTTGAATTGTGGTGGTGGAGGAGACTCCTGCAAGTCCCTTGGACCACAAGGTGATCAAACCAGTTAGTCCTAGAGGAGATCAACCCTGACTGCTCTTTAGAAGGTCAGATACTGAAGATGAAACTCAAATACTTTGGCTACCTAATGAGAAGGAAGGAATCCCTGGAGAAGAGCCTAATGCTGAGAACAATAGATTGCAAAAGCAAAAGGGGATGGCAGAGAATGAGGTGGCTAGATGGAATCACTGAAGCAGTCAGCGTGAGCTTAAGTGGACTCCAGGGGATGGTGGAGGACAGGAAGGCCTGGAGGAAAGTTGTCCATGGGGTCGCGATGGGTTGGACACGACTTCGCAACTAACAACAACAACAACAACAAACTTAGAGGCTTCTGATCACCTAGTGCAGAGTGGAAGGAGGACCAGTAGAGAAGCATGTCACCTGGATGGGTTTTTCCCTCCCATCTAGTGATAGTGGTTCAGAGGGGGAGGGGAGGGAAAGGAAGGGAAGGAGACAGGCGGAAGCTCAGGATAGCTTATACTCTGGCCTTTCCAGGCTCCTCTCCCCTCCATCCACTGAAATACCCCTTTTCCTGCTATCCCAAGTTTTTGTTTTTGTTTTTTTCCTGATCTGAGGGAGTGGTCAGCCATGGTTCTTTCCATACTTGACTGCAAGATACCAGGGAGAGGACTGGACCTTCAACTCCCCCTTCTGAGGTCAGAGTGTTGTCTCCAACCTCAGTATTCTAGGGCGTTACAGATAAGGCCTAGGAATTACTCCATCTAATAGTAGATCAATCAACTAAATCCTGTTGGCCTAAAAGATGTGCTTAAGGTATATGAAGGTACTATTTTCTCAAATCCTGCAGTTCCCAAGAATCAAAACAGTGAGGCAAACTTGCAAATACTGATGCAGTTCTGGGCTAAGAAGACCTCTAGCATGAATGAACAAGATGTTAAATATATGAATGTCTTTTAGCAGTATGGTAACACATCATATATAAATCTTGCCTGCTTCCTAGAGACTGTTTCTCTCTGGACCAGGAAGATCTGTCAGGTAACTGACAGTGAGTATTAAACTGGAACAGTGATCTGCAAATTTATATAACTTCATAGTCCTTTTAACTAGGGCCTTTGGTTTTACTAGGGCCATTGGTTACCCACTCAAACAACATTCCCTTCTCTTTGATAAGTTGAATTCTGCCCTTGAGTTGTTTTATTTATTCTTTCTAATTGTTCTAATTGTATTTGATTATTTATGTGCTCTATTTGATGGCTGTATTCTGTCTATGGTTTTTTGTTTGTTTTGGCAGGGGTTGTTTACACTCTAAGGGTACTTCTAGGCAGAGGGTTGTAAGTGTTACCAATTAAAAGTCATTGTTCAGGGAGTCCATATATTTCATTTCTTTAATTTTTTTGTATGGTAAAAACAAAAATAGAAGTTGTAGGTTACAAGACAGTACTGTCTGAACCCCATGTAGAATTCCATGGATAAGACAGGACTATGTTGCCATTAAAGCATTTTTAACTAGCTTGTCTGAAACCACCCTAAAATAGACACAGAGAAACAACAAAGGGGAAGTGTGGGCATGGGGAAGCAGAATTACACTGACTGTGTGCTTGTTGTCTGAGGTTTTTGTACCTGATTAAACAACATTAAAAAAGAAATGGAAGGGCTTGAAGTGCCCTTTAAATGTTATGGCGGTGGTGTAGGATCAACTTTTTTGTTGGTTTGATGCTTCTGTAATGTTGAAATGTTTACTTGTAATGTTACAAGTATATGGGTGTGGCCAATTATTATAACCACGTAATCATTGTTCAGCAAAGGTCAGGAAGAGTGACTCAATAGTGTGCATAATAGTGATCAGCCCCACAAATGTGATGGTGAGCCTTTAAATGTAACAACAGCCTTCAAGGATGAACCCATAAAAGTGGTTCCTACACTCTTTCCCCACGATATGTGGGTCACTTTGCAGTGAGCAAGAAATGCATCCTGTATCTGGTCAATGCTGTTCCAAATTAAACCTTGAATCCAGACAGCTGGCAACTAACTCCATGTTTTAAAAGCTGTGTAATGTGTAAAGGCAGTTCAAATGAAATAACATTCACAAACAGGAGACACCCAGAGACTGCATGCTTCATTTAATCAGAGTGAAATATTTTCATGTGCTTTGTTGTTGCATTTCACAGGGGCCAGATGGTAAGCCCGGCCTGCCAGGATTTCCTGTAAGCACTGTGTTATAAATTTCTGAAATAGTAAACATTTAAATGATCTCATCAATGGTTTAGTATTTGGTATAGCACAAAATTTACACAATGCCATAAAAATTAATGCCAAAAATAAACTTAGAAGATAATATGAAACTGGTTATCACTAGAAGGAATACTGTAGAAATGTTAGGATTGTTAGTGGCTACTTTGGGAATGAGCATGTTGTCCCTCCATTCTAACCACATACCCAATATTTTTGTTTTCCTTAAGTAACTTCATTAAGTTTACATCAAATGACATTTATTTTGCATAATCATACATGTACTTCATAAGAAGATTTTCTGTAAAATGTAAGGGAGATGAAACTGGGATAGGAGCTATTTCTACTTGTAACATTTCCAGGGGTATAACATTGGCCTCAAAAGGATGAGAGCTGGAGTAGATTAGATTTAGGGCTCTGGTCAAATCTTTTCTTCAATACATCCAGCAAATGTGGAAAAAGGTTGGTAACCATATTGATCTCTGTGTGCTCCAACATTGGCACACTTCCTAGCCACTCCTCCCAGTGGTGGACAACAACATGCATTTGACTGGAGTACATGTGAAGGGGAACCACTTATGTACAAATGAACACATTTAGAGGCAAGCAGGCTTCCCACTCATGTGGAAAAGCCCTACATGCCTATGAACACCAAATGATGTCAGAATCCTGGAATCTCAATTTGAGAAGAGGAAATAAAACTCAGGTTTTTGGAAAAGATCAAGTGTCCAGACCATCTGTGGCTTTATTGTATGACCCAGGTGCCCCGCAGGTCCATACTCACAATAATGCATTTATTACCAGGCAGGCAGAGGTGAACTCTGCTGCAAAGCTTCAACACAACTACAGAGTTTTATACACTCCCAGTCACGTCACAGGTACAGGGCAACTGATGACGGAATGCAGACTTTACAATAAGGTTCTGAGGTCATCACATACAGAACAGATAAAGGAATGTCAGTCAATCATACAGAGACAATGAGATTACAATATTTCTAATTGCAGTGTATTGACATTTTAGTTGAGTAACTTGAACCCATCTCCAGGTCTGCTTAGACATGTTTGTGAGCCGCCCCGAGGCTTTGGTGAATGGGGCGGCATAGAAGTTTCCTAAATAAATAAATAAACAAAAAATGTAAATTCAAGCTACTGAGAAACTATTCATGATAAGCTCAGACCCTTATCTAGACTCTAGACATTCTGAATGACCAGGGCACATGAAGCCCTCTGGGCTAGGAAGATGCTTCCTGGTAAACTGAATTCCAATGCCATTTTAAACAGTGACTTAGCTTGGTTTTGAGAAGGAGTACAGAATTAATTCTACAATTTCAAAAGCACACAGAAGTAATGCTTTTCAGACAAGATCTATCCAAATTTTCCCAACAGTGACTGACTAGGAGGTATGTTGACATCCATGGGCCTGGCTTGCAATGCAGTTACACTTTTTCTTCCATGTATGCGTGATCTAATAAAGCAGTATTTACATCCATAACCTGTATGGTCTTGACATAGGACAGGACTTTTTCCAGCCTGAGTGCTGAATTACATTTTGGAGCAGCAATCAGGGGCCACATTCCAGTGGTGGGCAAGACTAAAGGCAAAAGGTGTGTAGCCCAAAATTCTAGCACATCAGCCTGTTTTAGTTTAAAGCACTATTTTCAGTAATAAAGCCCTTAGGCCAGGCTTTTAAAGTGGGGGAAAACACTACACAAAAGCCAAGAAGCCATCAAATTAATCAGTGGAAGGGAAAAGGTAGTGTGGCAGTCTGGAAATCCCAGAACGTTGTAGTTTGGTTATCAGTTCTCAGGCTTTATATTTCTGTAATAGGTAAAAATGTACGTTGTGTGAGCCTCACTACATCACCATCATGGATGAGTGTGTTCCTATTCCGTTCTGGTAATATCTGAAGAAGTAGATTGCATGCCCTTACAGGGCTGACAGCACAAGTGAGGGAAGGGTTTTTTTGTTTTTGTTTTTTAGAGCCAATGCGGTGTAGTGGTTAAAACTACAAGAGTGGGACACAGATGATCTGGGTTCTAGTCTCCACTCAGCCATGGAACCAACTGGGTGACATTGGACTAGTCACAGACTCTCAGCCCAAAATGAGAATAAATAAACAAGTTTGCTGGGTTGCTCTAGCTTTCATGATCAGTGCCCTCAAACATTACTGGAGCTATAATGACCAGAAAATGTGCACTAAGTAGTGGAAGGGAAAGTGGACTGGGGCAGAATTTAGATCCTCTCTCTCCCTGCTGCACTTTAAACCACCCCACCCCCACACACACACACTCACTCACTCCCGCAGACCTAATTCTTCAAAGAGGTCTCTGCCATAACATCTAGTTTTCGATTATGTTTAGCAACATGCAGAACCTGCCTAATTGTAATGCTCTGATTTGAAGAAAGTCTCTGCTGTCTCTCTTCTAGGGCCCAAGAGGACCAAAAGGAGATATTGGATTACCAGGTTTGCCAGGACAGAAAGGAAAGCGGGTAAGGAGGAAGTGGGTGGAATGGCAACAACAAATTGCATTTAGAAATGTGCAGAAATGGCTACGGGTGAGTTCCTCTGGTATATTTATAGGTGAGCTCAAAGATTCCTGGTGAAAGAAAGGTTTCATAAGAATTTGGTCATTTTGTTTGCCAGGTGTGTCAGTTTTCCTTTAAATGGGCTTGGATGAAACCTCCTTCTGCAAAGTGATCTTTTTAAAGAAATAACTTCTGAGAAATAGGAAAAAATGACATCACACTGTATTGCAGTTTTTGTATATCCCCAGTTATATTCACAACTAAGGTCAATTAATATAGCCATGGGTGATCTTTCAGTACATTCCAGATTTTGAGTATCATCACTTTTAAAAGGAGAATGCGATTGTTCCATGATTTGGTATAACTGCTTCCTTCCTGCTGAACATAACAAAATTGGCTAGGACACCCTTTTTCTCAGGTGGATAGATCCAAAAGTGGGAAATTATTTGGGCAGAGGAGCAGGCAGATTCTGTATGTGTGCCCTAGCTTGACCCTTCTGCACTCCCCACTCCCTACAGCTAACAATCCCGTTGGCAGAAGGAGCAAGAAAGCAGGACCTTGGGCCCTGCAGCAACTGCCACTCCATAAAAACAGTTATCACTAAAAAGGCACAAACCTACAGGTGTCCAACGCTGGAGTTAAAATATATCAGTTTTTTGCAGCAGGAGAAAAAAGTTGAATGTAGTAAGGGGTGGTAAAATCCAATAACTTGAATTCATTTGGATTCCTTTTTGGGAACTGTTTTGAATTTGGAATTTTAATAGACATCCCACTCTCTTCCACTTGCCACTTTCTTTTCCTTTTTTGATTTTGAAGATTGTTGACTATTGTTGAGGATACAAAGAATAATGTAAAACATTTTTAATAGAGACATGTGTTTTTCTGTTCAATTTTAAATTATATGTGTATTTCTACAATTTATATGAGAAAAAGATAATATACTCTGGGTCTGTAGGTCTGAAATAATCTAATTATGTATGTTTGAAATTATTAGCTGTCTGTTCATTTCTTTAAAGTTACAGTCTGCATTATTTGTTATGAAGAACTTGGAATGTCTTTCACTCCAGTTTAACAGCAAGCTAGGAAAGCAAGTTTAATAGTCAGTGTTAAAAGATAGCAGGTTTGTAATATGAAGACACACAAATAGGGTCCTGTTTTATAAGTAAAGCAACCTTTGCCAACTACTTGCTACTCTTCAGATGTATGGCCCTACAACTTCCACCCAGCCAGCAAGACCACTGGAAAGAGTGGGAGTTGTAGTTCCATACTTCTGAAGGAAGAGCCAGAATATAGCATAAGCTTCTTTCACTGGTGGAAGCTCCATCCAGACCTCTACTTAAGTTTTTCCTTAAAGCTTTTCTATATAAGAGATGTCTTTATGCTCATCATTCCCTACTCACAGTTGTTTATGTGTTCATTAGATGATATGATACAATACTCCACTTCCACTTCTTTTTTAAAACACTACTTTTGGTAAGCTTTTTTAAAGAGCAGATATTATTTGTGAAAGTGCTTTTCACAAATGCTTTTGCCACTGGTACAATTCTACTGTACCACACAGTGGTTACATAGTGGAAAATTAGGAAAGAAAACAATGTTTATGTCATGCCATTCTGCTGGGTTGCCAAGTTTGTTTTCAGAGTTTGTCCATTTTCTAAATCCTTAATACCCTTTCTCTCTGAACTTGTTTCTGTGAGATGTGCAATAATAGCTTGATGGATTGTTTGGTTGCTCTTGATAGCCTTACCTATTTCCATCTGCTCTGTGTCTAATTTCTGTGGGTGTGTTCTTTGTTTGCCTGATCTTTGTGTTGACATGGGAAATTTTCATCCCTCACTTCTTGATGACTCATTGTGCTCCCTCTGGGCAATGGCAGTCATCCTTGCAGGGTGATTTTGCCTAATCTTTTTTAAGGGGAAATATTTGCAGGTTAAGCCTGACCTTTTCTCCACAAGTATTCCAGCATTATTCATCCATATCTCACTGACACTGGCTAAACCAGGTCATTAGGTCAGTGTTGTTGTTGTTGTTGCTGTGTTGTAATTTTGTACCACTTTTATGAAGCCAGTTGAGGCAATTGAAAAAAAGTTTGGAAAATAAAATTCAGAATTAAATTAAAACAGTAAAACATTAAATCCAACATTTAAAGTGGTAATATTGTTTAAAAACTGGAGTTAAAAAGTTGATGTATCTGAAGAGCTCTTGCCAAAATGGTTTTTTGTGATTCTACAGAGCCATGCCTCAATCTATGAAGAAGGGACACTTTAGGTAAACTTGGGTAGGGGATGAATCTCCAGAGCAGAGCACTGTTCCCCCGTATTGCAAGCCATCCCAAAAGCAATAGAAATGAAAGTTATAGTGTATCTTGTCTCTGTGAAGGGATCTGGAATAGATGCAGAAGACGAAGAGCATGCTTGGTGTGTTTGCAGCCAGACTGACAGATGTGTACACAAGTGAACTGAGTGCTGGCACAGTCACCAGACTGGGTTCAATCCAATATCATTCTAGTGGAAGTCCACTAGCACAATGGGGTATTCTCTCTCTCTCTTCTCCTCTGTGGCCTCCTGAACCATCTGAAAATCTCTCCTTGGGGACTTCTAAGTCCTGCAGAGCATATTTTGAAGGTGTGTGGAGGACTGTGGTGTAGGGTGCAGGGAATGCAGGATGACATCAGTGGATTCAGCCCATCTTAAAAATGCCACTGTTCATGCAGTTATCTGTTCTTTCATAACCTTTAATATTTTTAATAAAAAGGAAACCCTCTTTTAAGAAGCGCAATGCTGCCAAAAGGGATTGTGGGGAGTCCCTTCTTGATGACACTGGAAGGGAACAGCCAGCTTCTACGGCAAATTCTCAAAGCTGCTCCCCCTCTCACCCCAACTCTGGAGGGGAGTAGTTACATATGGACTGCATGCAATGAGAGGGCACTTCCAGATTGACCTCAACACCCCATACAAGTTTCCCCTGTGTTTTCCCTTGGATTGCTGTTATTCTTACCTGCTGCAGTTAGATTTTCAGGATGAGACCACCCTTGCAGATATATTCTCATTTGTTTGGTGGAGAGCAGGAAGAAGTCAAGAGGAAAGGGAGGATTTACTCCTTCATAGCCATCGGCTTCTTCTTATTCAGAAGACAAATGAGTCTTCTCATTTCAAGTCAGATACATACAGCGGCTCACAAACTTGATCTCTTCCAGGACTCTGGTTGTGACCCAAATTGGTCATGAGCCAAGTTAATTTTCCCCATAAGGTTCAATGTAAATAAGGTTAATCCATTCTGTAACCATTTTTTTAAATCTGAAAAATGTGAAGCAAAGTGACAAAGGACAACAAAGATCGCAGCCATCTCCCCCCCACCCCCCACTGAGCACAAGCATGGCCATCTCCCCACCCCCACAGCACGACCGAGATTGCTCCCGTCATCCCTGCACGCACCCGTTATCCCGGCATGCTGGGGGGGAGAGGGAAGAGACGGGCATGATCGCAGCCACACTGTGGAGAGAGAGACGGGCGCGAACAGGGCGCACTGGGGGAGGGAAAAACGGGCACGAATGGGGCGCGCTAGAGGAGGGAGAGATGGGCGTGATCTTGGCCATCTCCCCCCCTGCCCCCAGCATGATTGCGGCCATCTCCCCACTCGGGGGGGTGGGGAGATGGCCGCGATCGTGCTGGTTGTGGGGGGCAGATGGCCAAGATTGCGCCTGTCTTTCCTGCAGGAGCGCATCCATGATCATGCACATCTTCCCTGCACGAACACAACTGCATTCATGCGTTTCATGAAATTTTTGTTCACAACCCGATTTGGTTGTGAACCAATGTGTATTTGAGCTGTGGTACCATGTATTAGTTCTCAGCTTGAATAAATCAAGCAGGTGACTCAATGGCTGGAAAGTATGTGCTGTTTCTTGCATGTAAAATTGTTCTTTGTTTTCTCTAGGGTGAAAAGGGTGAACCAGGAACTATCTTGGCATCAGCTGATTCACTGATGGAATTGATAAAGAAACCAGGAAAAAAGGTAGTTTTACAGGATTATTGTTTGCATTCTTTTGCTAGTTCTGCCACACAAATCCAAAAATAAATAAATAAATAAATTCACTAAATACTGCCCTTTTCCTCACAGGGTGAACCTGGAGTAATGGGACCACCTGGCCCAGTGGTGAGTTGCTTAGTTTTTTATCAGTCCATGTTCTTTTTTGATGGAGACTTGGTATAAACACTATCCACTATAGGACACCAAGAAATAATTCAACCATTGCTAGAAAAGTAAAGGATGAAAAAGTGAAATAGAAAAGAAATAGCTGGAATAAGAAGTACTAATAGGAAACAAACTTGCTTTAAATCTGAACCCATTACCAACATGTTTTCACTGTGGGACAATTGAATTTCCAGCCATCAAAACTGGCCTGTACTGCAAACCTGTCTATTCTCCCTCAACAACACCCAATGTCTAGAACATTTTCACTTGTGTGAAATCAATGCCAAACCCATTTTTCCCATGAAGACATTCACAAACCCTTAGAAAAGAAAGCCCTTTCTTTTGTTCCTTTCTTTTCTTGCTGCTCACTCTTTATTCTTGCAACAAAAGTTAGAGTGAAATAATCTCTTGAGCTTATATTAAACTATAAAATGTTAAACAAATTCATTATTTGTACTCTTAATTATTTTGAACAAAATTCAAAGCAGCATACAGGAAGTAAAATATGGTCATTAAAGCAGCTTTCCCCCACCTGGTATTCTTCAAGTATGTTGGACTACTATTCCCAACATCCCCCAGCAGGTTGGGAAGGGGACACTGAACATACAAGTTCATAAGTTATGCTAAACCATATTGGCAAGAAGTCACAGTGTGTTTGTTGTTACCTTGGCAGAACCACCTTATTGTTCCTAAAAGAAAATCAAGCCTACTGTGGGTTGTCCCCTGCTTTCCACTCTCATTTTTGCAGGGATTCCAGGGTCTCTGTGGCAGAGCCAACTTGTCTCCTGCTGTAATTGTTTAGTTTATTTATTGGATTTTACATTTATTAGGGGGTGGTTGTTGTCTTAGTTCTATAATGGTTTTAATTGCCTGATTGTGAGTCACCTAGAACTGCTATGGCGCAATAGGTGGCGTACAAATGTTTTAAATAAATAAATAATCACCAGTCCTTTTACAACAGTCTCTGAACTGAACGTCCCTCCAAAGTGCCAAAGTGGCATGCTGAAGAGTCTGTCATGATTTACTCCAAATGTGCAAATGTATTTTTGTGTCTAATTGGAAATGGACAAGTGCACACTTGCACAATTCTGTGGGTCTAAAATGGGCAATGTTCTGGGGGTTGCTTACTGTAGCAGATGCTCACCATGGACACTGACCCAGAAAGGCTGCAAGGAAGTTTATTTTTTCTTTGCTTTCCTTGACATCTGTCAAAAAGAAGGGCTGTCAAAGGAAAACAAAGCCATGATCAGAGTTTTTTTGGTAGGTGTATATGCAGATGTACATTCCCCTGTCAAAAAGCCCTGAATAGCCTTGTCAAAGTCCCTAAAGCCAGAATTTGAATTAGGTGTCAAAGCACTGTGCCCCAATAAAAAAAAGGGACTGCTCACATTTCTCTTCCTTTCTGGGTACCTAGAATCTTGGGATATGGTGGGAAGGATCTAGGATACTGAGAAGACTCAAGTCCAGCTAAAAAAAGTAGAGCACATTGCAAAGGGGTTAATCTAGTAACCATCCACTAAAGTAAGCAAATATCACTTGTGGTTTTGATTTCCCTTGAGGATTTGCTTTTTGACAGCTGTCAGGGAAAGCAAGGCAAAGTTCTAATCCAGTGATGATCACTCCATTTGAAGGGTAGACTATCACTGGTGATAGCCTGGATGAAGTTGGTAAGAACAGCAAGGATTCTTGCCACTTACGCCAAGGGGTTCACTTTGCTTCCAGTGTAACTGACTTCATCATGGGTACAACGTTTAGAACAAGCTATGGCTTGCTCATGAACAAGCCACCCTGCAAGGAACAGTCTGAGTTTGGATGATACAACTACCCACTATGGCTTGCCATTCACAATGGGCATGACACAAATCCAGTCAATACTTTCATGAAATAACTAAATATGGGTACAAAGTAAATAAAATCTGCTCTTCTCTTACCTTTATAAGACAGAGATTCCTCCTACATAAATACCTTCTCCTTTTAAATGCAACCTTCCACAGGGTATCTGCTGGGCTACTCCTGGGTATGCCGCTTGCAAAACTCCAAAGGTCAGGGTAGAATTGATATATTACTTGTGGGGAAAGCTCACTCGATTCCATCAGTGTCAAAAGTGATGTACTGTATTTTTCGCTCTATAAGACGCACCTGACCATAAGACGCACCTAGTTTTTAGAGGAGGGATCCATGGAAAGCTTTCTGATAATCACAGGGACATTCCCCATCACTTCCCCATGGGCTTCATTAAAAGATGGGTTGCCATTTGAAAACACATACCGACCTGTGATTAACAGCTCTCACCTGCGCCGGAGGAGGGGGGCGGAGTGGGGCGCGCCGAGTGCGTGCCAGCCAGGTGTGGTGCAGCTGGGCCGGCAGCGTGCCGGCAGTGGTCTTCTGGGCGGCGGCAGCAGCAGGTCTTCCCGGGCGGTGGGGGTGAGCAGTCTGTCTCTCCGTGTGGCCGGCGGGTTAAAGCCTGCAGCTCCTCCTCCTCCGCACCGCTCCCCCTGAGCGGCACAGCTCTCACCTGCACCGGGGGGAGGGAGCAGCATGCGCCAAGTGTGTGCCGGCCAGGTGGTGCCACGTGGTGCAGGTGGGCCGGCAGCGTCCCGGGCATCGGGCACACACACATTCTCTCTATAAGACGCACAGACATTTCCCCTTACTTTTGAGGGGGGAAAGTGCGTCTTATAGAGCGAAAAATACGGTACATATTTTTTCTAAAACTCCCATAGTATTATGAATGGCATCTTTTCCCTCTCTGGCCCAGCATTGTATGTAGCTCCCCAAGGTTATCAAGAACTCCTTCAATGCCCTATTTGCAGTCTATGCTCCATGACAAGTTCTGGAGCTTCACCAAGCCTTAGGAATCGCACTTCTTTCCATTGCTGTCTACGTCATTATTGATGATCTTAAGTAAGTGACTATTTTGCCTCTGTGTTCTCCCCAAAGCAGGATGGGGGATATCCGCATAGGAGATTAGATGAGGCTGGGGACTTAGGGGCACAGATTAGAGTCACCCCCCTTGAAGTTGAGGGGCTCCTCAGGGCATTGGACATTACAAAGGCGCCAGGCCCTGACGGGTTATACCCGAGAGTACTTAGAGAGTTGGCAGGGGTTCTCTCACGCCCGCTGGCCTCCATTTTTGAGGCCTCATGGAGAATGGGTGAAGTTCCAGAAGACTGGAGGGGGGCATCAGTGGTCCCAATTTTCAAAAAGGGTAGTAGAAGGGACATGGGGAATTACAGACCTGTTAGCCTTATGTCCATTGTAGGAAAAACAATGGAAAGGCTCATAATGGAGAGAGATCTAGTGATGCTAGATAGGGAAGGGAGGCTGACAGCCACACAACACAGTTTTCACAAAAACAGGTCCTGCCAGACAAACCTTGTGGAATTCTATGACAAGGTTTCGAGATGGCTAGATGGAGGGGATGCAGTGGATGTGGTATACCTGGATTTCAGCAAGGCCTTTGACAAAGTGCCCCATGATATCCTGGTGGAGAAAGTGAGGAGTTTTGGGATACACCAAAGCACTGTCCGGTGGATTAGGGCATGGTTGACTGACCGAAAGCAGAAGGTAACCATTAGTGGGGAATCATCGGGATGGCGGCCAGTGACAAGCGGAGTCCCCCAGGGCTCTGTCCTGGGGCCGATCCTGTTTAATCTTTTCATCAATGCTCAATGCGCAATGATCAAATTCGCAGACGACACTAAAACTGGAGCAGTGGCCACAGCTGAGGAGCAGGTACTCCAGATCCAAAAGGATCTGGACAGACTATGGAAGTGGGCAGGAGACAACAGGATGGCGTTCAGTGTGGATAAGTGCAAGGTCTTGCACTTGGGGCATAGGAATGGGTGTCATAAGTATAGGTTAGGTGACAAGTGGCTGGAGAGCAGCACTTATGAAAGGGACCTCAGGGTACTGGTTGACTGCAGGCTAAACATGAGTCAGCAGTGTGATGTGATGGTCAAGAGGGCAAAGGCCACCCTTGGTTGCATAGCCAAAAATGTGGCTTCTAGCCTCACTCCACAGAGTTTTTGTTTGAGCAGGGATCTGAATCATCTGCCAGGTCCCACATCTAGCCATGACACTGCCCTTGTGCCCCTTATATGAATGCATATGACCATTAAATTCAGCTTTAATTTCTATCCATACAAGTTAGTTGACATTTAAATAAAAAGATTCAAATCTCACATAAGGCAATTATGGTGTGACTACAACAGTAAGAGCTTTTGAATAACACTGAGGAGTTTATAGTCTCAAAAAGGAATGAATTCTTCTGGGTGGCCTGTGAAATACTTTATAGTTTATTGTTGCTCTTGTTTTTGATCAATAAATAGGATGAGTACAAGTGAACAAAATATATCACTTAAAAGTCTGGATGCAAGTACTAGAACAGGAGCAGCTTGAACAAATTAATGTTCTTCAAAGAAAAATCAAGTGTGTGTATGTCAATGGGTGGGCAACTTGTGGTCTTCCAGATGTTGTTGGACTACTACTTGAATCAGCCCTATCTAGCCTCAGGATGATAGAAGATGCAGTCCAGCAATATCTGGCGGGCAATGAGTTGCCCACCTTTGACATATTAGGGCTATAATTTTCTTCAGGGTTATACTGCAGGACTTTTATGATCCAATCGCAACTCTATCTTCACATTCTTTAGGCCCCTTACAGTTCAATATTAACTATGTTTGCTCAGAAATAATCCCACAAATTTCTTAGAAATGTCCTCCCTAGTAAATATGTGTTGAAATGCTTAAGGAAAGCAATTAAATAGATTGCACTATACATAAGCTCAATTTTTGCTCATAAAACAAATCTTTGCTCATAAAACAAGTCATCAACAAATATGTTAAGTTGCATAACAATTTTAAATGTAGATCAGTAGCAGCTCCACTGATTTGTAACAGAATAAGCTCTGGGAAACAAATCCTTGTTCTAATAGCTTCCAAAGGCTTTTGGCTACAATGGAGAAAAGCTGGATGTTGAGCAAAACTACAGATCAGCACCCAACCTGCATCTTACTCCATCTCTGGAATATTTTGGCAGTTATTTTTAAATGTTTTTGTATGGTGAATGATGAATACTAATAAACATACATGTGCTGCTTTAAAAATAGATAAAAGTAGATAAAGCTACCTAAATTATGAGTTCAGGAGTGGGATTCAGCACTGATCTAGCATTTGATTTGCTGCAGTGCACAACTGCAATGCAGGTTGTGAAGCTGTGCTTCCACCATGGATAAAGAACCTGCTGTCACTGCTCTTAAAATCCAACATCTGATTTAATTTGGAATAAATCTACACCAGATTCATTAGGTACTACTTGCCTACATCATTTCTGCAGCATCCACTCTCACCCTTTCTCTTAATTTCAGCTTAACTCCTTTTCTTCTGTCCTATGGTCAGGAATGTTGGGACATAACTCTTCCTCTCTTTTTATGGGGTCTATTGACTTCATTCAGCATAATGTAATCCTATGGACAGTAATGTGAGAGTGATACCGAACTGATTGATCAATTCCCCTTTGTTGACTAAGAATTAGAGATTATTTTAAGACTCGAATCTTAAGCATGCATACTTCTGAGTAAGTTTATTTAGGAAAGTCTGAGCAGTACTTGTTGCAAATTGAGGTGAAATAATTTCAGGTTTGTATGGTCTAATTTTGATTTTTACTAGAATCCCCATGATCCACCAACATGCATTTATAAATTTACAAAGCCACTGCATCTGCATATAACTACCTGCACTAAGTGATCCTGAGCATGCACTCTTGCATAAGTACATCTGCCTAGTAGGATCACATGAAAATGCGCCGAGGTCAGCATTCTCTTCAAGTTCCCAGAAGCCAGCAGCTGCTTAGAAGTTCCAACAGAAATTCTAAGCAAGCTAGGTTTTTTAGCAGGTTACTGCAATCTATTTGTTCTTGTAGGTTCTTAATTATTATATACATTCTTCATGCTAAATTATTTTAAATAAGGCTGTTATGTAAGAATTTTTAGTTAAATAATCATTAGCCTTTAAATGAGTTATCTGTACATTCTCACTTTGCTATAACTTCAGCATTCAATGTCTTTTTAAGATATTGAAAAGAATGATAGAATATTCAATATTATTAACCAAAGTTTATAACACTCATTGTTAAGAGGAAAAGATGTGATTATGCTTTCATTTATTTCCATTCCATACACCAGAACAAAAATATAAGCAAGCATATCCTATTCTTCCAGTCCCCAGTATCTGTGGGGATGTTGGCCAAAACCTTTTGCAAGTATCTCTCAAGAATTGGGCCCCCTGCTTTTTCCAATGATACCAAGATACCAAGATAACTGCACCACAAGTTTTGCCAAGGCATTTGGCATTTATTTCATGTAGGACTTCTACAGTTAATCAACCTATCAGAATTAATAAGTTTTCCTGATGAAGCACTATTTTGGAAGATTCAGTCACTCCATCCTTTGAGTGACAGACAGAGAGAAGATGTCTGTTAGTCATCCTCTTCAACATATAACCTCTGCATGTTTTTCTAATGCTTTGTCTGTCTTTTCTTGAACTGTAGTTAATTTATTAACCAAAAAAACAAGCTATTTTATTGTTAGTGCTAGGAGCTCTTCATCTGGAAGCATCATAACCTTATCTGTTTTTAAACAAAGGGTACACCACATTTAGGTGCCCATGCTTCTGTGTAGCATCCTATGCAGCATAATACAGCTTTTTGGCCAGTAAAAATATTAAAAGTACACATGTATTTCTATGAATAATATTTTATTATATTGTTGTTATTGCTTGCAGCCACAAACACATTTCACATATTTCAGTTATTCTGCTCATAATAGACTTTCTTGTCTTTAGGGATTAACTGGACCCCCTGGACCTAAAGGAGAACTTGGTTTTCCTGGCCGATCTGTATGTACATTTTTTTCTGTGAAGTTTTTTAATCATTATTTTTATATAGGCATTACTACATTTGTTTGTCTTGTGTGTGTGTGTTTCTTCCAGGGACGCCCTGGCCTGAATGGGCTGAAAGGCATAAAAGGTGAACGGGGTATAACATTATATGTAAGTGCTATAGAAGTGAAATATTCCTACTCCTTGTATAAGGAGATGCAACTATGGTCTGGACAGAGAAAAGGAAGTACTTGTTCATTGAATGCATAATTAACACAGAACTGACCGCCACAGCATGTGGTGACAGCTACTGGTTAAGGTGGTTTTAAAAGGGGAGTAGACAAGGTTTATTAGTAGTGTTGGCAAACAAATGGAGTCTCCATACTTGGAAGGGTCCACTGAAATCCATTTGCTGGAGAAGCATGCAACAGAAGAGGGCTGTTACCTTCAAACCCTTCTTGTGGTTTTCCTGAAAGCCTTAGGCTGGCCTGTTAGGAGCAGGATGTTAGTTAAAATGGGACATAGGCTATGGATGTATGAGAAATTAATTTCAGTTTGTTTTGCCCAGAATTTGCCCAGTTTGTACCTCCTGGAACTCGGTGCAGACCTGAAGGCATTTTGCAGTTCAAGCCCATACATTTCTGAGCTCAGAAAATGAATGCATTTGAAAAGTGCACATAAAGAAAATTGTGTATGTTTCAAGAAGGTGTACAAATTTGCTTTAATCAATGAGAGATAAGTGGTGCAATTTAAAAACATACATAATATGTATATTTGAAAAAATATTGTTATGTCATTTCTATTCATGAGCATCTGCAAAAAGAATTGTGCAAAAAAAAAAGTGCACAATCTGATATAGACTCAACTCTGACTGTAACTCAGTCTTTGCAAGCTCAAGTTTTTCTGATTTGTGTATTCCTACTCTTGGCCTAATACAACATGATTCCTCTTACATCCTAATCCTATCTATGTATCTAGATGCATGCTTTTATATCAAGTAGAACAAACATGGGTCAGAATGATCCACATTGCAGACTGATTTCTGGAAGCACATGAAGTATTCGCATACAGTTTCTTTCAGGAGTGCAAAACATGTTTCTCAGTGTGTTTGCAGCCTCAGGGTGTGTTCTATGTATGCATGAGTGATTGTACCTCAGATAGAACTTTCCTATCCACCTGTATTGCCTTAAATGCAGTACCTTTCAGTAGTCAGTTCATACATTCAGTTGTCAAGTCTTACATAACAAAATGATAAGTAATCAGAATAAAGTGATGAGAGTAAAGTGATGAAAAGCCAGAACAGGGGTGGAGAATGTGTGGCCCTCTACTGTAGTTGTACTACAACTACTGGCCATGGGAATTATAGTCTAATAATATATATTTATTATTTATTTTATTTATGATTTATTACATGCATTTATACCCCATCCTATCGCTTCAAGCACTCAGGATGGCTTACAAAATGTATAAAAGTACAATAAATATAAAACTACTATAATAAACTACAATAAATCTAGAGAAACACATGTTCTAATTTCCTGTCATATAATTTGGGTTCCACTGAAGCAAATGCAGGCAAAAATCCTAGTATGCATGGTGACCCAGAAAGGACAGAAAAAATACCATGTTTTGTTTCTTATCTGGAACTGTATAGTCAAGTGTGTTGTGAAGCACTTGGCACAGCTTTATAAATGTTATTCCACTTGAAATATACATTTCTTACATTTTAAGCTAAAATTTGAATTTTGAAATGCATTCTATAATGTATTTGAGTTGAAAATTAAAAAAGTCAAAATTGAAAGTGTAATCCTGTCCCACTCTGCACATTAGTCCAGAAGGTGATGATCACTTTGCAACAGAATTTCAAAGACTGAATTCCTCAAGCACTTCTACCTATAAGAGTCTGTTCAGTTGCAACAACCCCAAAATGAGCTTTTCAAATGGGCCAGGGAAAAATAAGCTGAAACTGAAATTGTTATCCTGCCACTATAGTACTGGGGATCAAATATTTGCATATAAAACACAATTTTCCCCCAAGTGAAAAGCAGTACAGTTCAACGGGGGGGGGGGGGGGGGGGGGGGAGGTAGAAGGAAGGCCAAACTCTTGAGGCTTTACCTCCTGCTGTTAAGAATGCTACCCCTTCACACACCCTTTTCTGCCCATATCAATATGATGTTTCATAATCTTCCTTTGGAAGTCATGGAGAATGAAATCCTACCTTTTCTTTAAAAGGTACATGAAAAGCTAGGATTCAAAATCAGTGAGGCATGTAATTCCTCTGTTACACATTCAAGGCCATGTGGTGCAATTTGAGAGTATTCAGTTCTCTTAATCTATTTTTAGTCAATCAATTCTGTCATATTTGTCCTTTTAGGGTCTCCCTGGTTTGCGTGGACCACCTGGGCCTCCAGGGCCTCCAGGCCGTGTGGTATACGGTAGAGAAGTAAGTGGGCTCACATTTCTCAGTGTGTCTGGCATTAACTAAATTGCAAAATCCAAAGGGTCTTGGAGGATATTTTTGTCATGGAAAATAGGTGGCCATGACCCATGACAGTTAAAGACAGTCTCTGTATTCAGAGGCAAGATTATCAGATGCTGAGACTAAGGATGTTTATCTCCATGACACTGCACTGGTGAGCTTCCCAGAGGCTTGTTCCTGTTGAGCACAAAGTGCTCCAAAATGATAAATCCTCTGTATGTTCCATTGCAAGCATGTTTTTAACATTCAAGCTCTCAGACCTATTTTATCTTGACAAAACTGTGGGTCCAACTGTGTTTTCAGTGGGCCCAGCTGATTGCAAATGAACAGGAAGAAGCAGGCAGGGGGCAATGTTCCTGCTCAATAATGCCTCCTCAAATGGATTTCCCACTTGTTAGGCAGGAAATTGTATTTGCATGCAATGTGTTGCCCTAAGAAATTGACCCTAATGTGCATGTACATTATTTTGCAACCAGAAATACACTAGTGTGTGAGTTTTCAATGTCTAAACTGAAAAATCCTTCCAAGCAAGTCAGGCATCTTTTTATGAATGTATTGCTTTTATTTTTATTTTTTTTAATTACTATTTACTATACTTATTTTCCTCCAATATCTTGAATAGACAGTTTTCCCCATTTCTCCCCGGCCTCAGTGCAAAACCACAGTAAGTCATCTACAGTATCCATGCTTAATATTTCTCATTAATAATTATAAGTTTGTATGCATGGATCATGAGGACTAGCAACACAAATGCGTATCACAGCCTATTCAGATGTATCTGGTTTTTGTTCTTGTGCATTGCTTCACTATCTACCCTGATAATGCTATATGCTTAGTGTGTGCCTTCAAAGTAGGGCCAAACTTTTAACACAGCAGATAGCACATCACTTATTTATGTGCTTTTTAAAACAGAGGATTTAGAGAAATAAAAACTGTTGGCCTTGGGCTGAATTTAATCTTTATATCATTATTACTTGGGCTATAAGCAAGAGCTCTATGTTATCTTAGAAAATAAATATTGTCCTCACAGAGGTGCTCTGTGCATGTCTGACAGTAAACTTCTCTGTAGGTACATAGTGTGTTTTTAAGTTACTGATTTTCAACCTAGCTTCAGTCTTTAGTAAATCTTTCCAATATCAGCCCTTTTCTTGTAAACAGCAGGTTTTATTTAAATATATGCACAGGGCAAGCCCTTCCCTGAGGCATGATGACTCCTCTGTTTGGATGGCAGGTTGGGAGAGGTGGCAAATCACGCCCACCCCCCTAAGCTGGAAAGGCTCTTGTAGGCCCCAGAACCACCATATTCACTGCACTCCCTGACTAAAGAATATGCCACAGTGGAAGAGTGGCAAACAAGCAGGACTCCTTGAGGGAGCACCTGCTGCTCTGCCATCTCTCATTCCTTTGAGTGAGTCCCAAAGGAAGAGATCAGACAGGTGGGCAGACTCTCCGGAGAGGTCATCCACCCAATCTCTTGCTTTGGAAAGGAGCTCAGAGGAAGAGATCAGGTAGGTTGCCTACTTCATCTCTCGCTATGAGGTCTCTCCTAAAGCAGGAGACACAGTAGGCAGGCAGCCTCTCTGTGGAGCTGTGTCAATCTTACAAAGTGGCCAGCAGCCCAATTTACAGAGGCTACCTGTCCATTCTCTCTGTGGGAAGACTTTTCCAAAGTGAGAGACTACAGAAGGTGACTTCTCCAGAAGGCCCACCTGATCTTTTGCTCCAAGAGAGTCTCCTGCATGAGAGAGCAGGAAGGTAGCCAGGTGCCGTGCCTTGAAGGGGCCATCCTTGAGCTGAGGTCCTCTAAAGTGGTCCCCAGAGCCACCACAAAATGCTTCAGGAGATGGGGCATCTTACACCACTGCTGCATATGTACAGCAAAACAAATGAATAAATCCATGCTTATTTATGCCTATCCATGTATGCATAGCCCTACTTGCATTGTGATGTTCATTCATACTCTCTTGAGCTTCCCAGATGGCTGTGTCCTTTGATGGGGATATGGGAGGAGGGGTGCATATCCACATCCCAGAAAAGATCTAAGTCTCTATGGTGGAGCATGTACCTTAGACCCCAATTCAGTCCCTGGTATCTCCAGTTAAACATGAAGCTCAGTACAGCATAGTCTTATCCTTTCCCTCTGTGAGGCTAATAATAGCTCCCATGGATGGGGAGTTCAGATCAGGAAACTAGCACAGGGGAAAAGTGTAGTACCACCCTCAGCAATATGGTACTACTCCAAATTGTGTGTGTGTGTGTGTGGGGGGGTTATATCTACATTTACCCTTTTAAAACCTCTGGAGGGATCTGGTTACAAATCTGTAGAGTCACCCAGTTTATCCCTAAGTTGCCATTTGTGCAATTAGATGGTGAATGTAATTTCAGTAGATGTTTCAACATAATTTGCTATTTTAAAATCCAGATTCTTCTCACAGTTACACTTTAATGACCACTTGAAGTAAACATAGTGGCTAACTTTAACCGCATGAAACAGCATGACATATAGTATTTTCTTAGAGTTGCAAGAATGCATGCTGCATGGCAAAGAACCTGCTACACTAAACAGGCCACAACTGTTGCTGTTGAGTCATCATACTTTGGTAATCCATTGAAGGTTACATAAAACATTATTGCTATTGCTTGGGTAGACTGTGCCTTGGTTCTAAGAGCATCATCAAAGGTAAGAATGGTCACATGAAGATGCCATTCCTGGATATACTTTTGTTAACTATATCCTGAACATGGTTGGTCTCTTTCTGTGTAGGCTGGCACCAATCATGCTGGCAACCAAGAAGCTATAGGTGGTAAGTTTGTCAGTAACTGTGGCCCCCAAATCTGAACTCTAGTGATGTAAATAGTTACTTGTAGAATGGAAACAAAGAGCCAAAAACAAAGTGAGTGCGTGGACAGGCAAGATAATGGACTTGTGAGGTCTCCTTTTCTCACTCCTTTAATCCATTTCAGGCCAGCATCTCTGAGAAGCTCATTTCACACTCAGGGTGCCACAACAGAAAAGGCTCCTTTCAAAATAGCCACCCACCCCTCTTTCCTTGGTGGGGTGCCCTGGAAAATGACTGCTAATAATACCTTCAGTCACATGGTGCCTTTCAAACTCAGCTTTCTAGGTCTTTAGAGTTTAGTTGAAATTATTCTAATGGGAGTAAAGACCACTCAGCTGCCTCAAAGAGATGCCTGCTATGCTTGCAATCATTGTCTGCCTCCAACATGAAGCAAGAACTTGTTTTGGTACAATGGAACAAATGGACAGAGCAGTTCCATGCATCAGAATACATTGATACAATGTACAATACTGATACATTGTCAGTAGCGCAGCAGAATGGCTGACATAACTTAGATGTGCTTAGTACAATCAGAAAATACAAAAGTGCTATCTCTTGGGTTGGACCAGCTTTTAAAGCACCAAGCTGTCAGACGTTTAAGGTTGTCACTTTAGAAACACTGGAGCTTTAGAATGTCGCTAGTTAACAGAACACTGTGAACATATGCTTCTGTCTACTACCATGCTGATGCCATCTGCCATGCATCTCCTTTAACTGAGATAAGTTTTTCTCATGAAAACATTTTCTAAAAACAGGTTCTTGGGGTGAACGTGGTCCACTGGTCATCAAAGGTGAAAAAGGAGACATAGGCCCACCAGGGCCACCAGGTATACATAAAAGGCTGCTTTTTTACTTTAAATGGTGATGATACATCAGAAATACATTAAAATCATCAGGTTGTATACAATGTTACATCTTCTTTGATTAATAAAACCTTGCAACAATAAAAACAAGAATATAAAATGAAGCTTTAAAAAGAAATAAACATTTTTAAAGGCTAATCTGAAAAGATACATCTATAGACCTTTTCCAAAATCCAAAAGAGTGGGGAGAGGGAGCATATTCCATACTTTGGGGGTAATATAAGAGAAAGCCTGCTCACACATGTCCAACAAATGGGCCACTTGGGCTAAGGTGCCCTCGAAGCAGATACTCCAGATCCAAAAGGATCTGGATACAGACTATGGAAGTGGACAGGAGACAACAGGATGGTGTTCAACGTAGATAAGTGCAAGGTCTTGCACTTGTGGCATAGGAATGGGTGTCATAAGTACAGGATAGGGGACAAGTGGCTGGAAAGCAGCACTTGTGAAAGGGATCTTGGGGTGCTGGTTGACTGCAGGCTAAACATGAGTCAGCAGTGTGATGCGGTGGTCAAGAGGGTGAACGCCACCCTTGGTTGCATAGCCAGAAGTGTGGCTTCTAGACTGAGGGACTCTGGTGCACCCACAACTGGAGTATTGTGTTCAGTTTTGGGCCCCTTGTTACAGAAGGATATAGCCAGGTTAGAGTTAATGCAGCGCAGGGCCACAGGGTTGGTGGCTTGAGGAGACTCAGAGGGGATCTGTTGGTGACATACAGGTATGTGAGGGGGTGTCACACAGAGGTGGGTAGAGACCTGTTCTCCCCTGCAGAGGAGGGCAGGACACACTCCAACGGAGCAAAGCTCAGGGAACCAAGGTTCAATCTGGATGTCAGTACTTCCTGACAGTTAGGATCCCGAGGGTATGGAATAGGCTTCCACGGGAGATGGTTGAGGCCCCACTGGTGAGGGTGTTCAGGGATAGGCTAGACATGCACATGGTGGGCATGTCATGAGTGGAGCAGGGGGTCAGACTAGATGGCCTGGGAGGCATCTTCTGACTCGCTCTGTTTCTATGTTTCTAAAAAGGACTGTCCTACAGATCTTTGTATGTGGGCATGTTCATAGTGAGAGATATCCTACAACTTGCAGCATGTTGTAGGACATTTTTCAATCTAGACCCTGCTAGCTGAGGAAAAGTGCAGCTGAGGAAAAGTGGCAGTGGAAGTACCTGTCATCTGTATTTTATATGTATCTTTTTAAATGATTGCTTGGGTGCATCTTTTCAATTGATCTCAGTTGTTGTAACTGATTGATCCAACCAGTGAATCAGTTTCATATTGCAGCCTCTAAAGGGTGAACGATTCTAATAACAGATCTCCATTTGTTTGGTCCTTGGCAAAAGAACTCATCCAATATGAGGATAATAACAACAGTCTGTATCCCAGGATTCTTTTAAGAATTAGTGATGCATATGACATGGTTTGACTATTACAAAGCTATATGCAAAATAGGTAACTTGTGATTTTCAGTACTTGGGCTGCAATTGAGGGGGATTCTTAGTTTTTTAAAATCAGTCTTTTATCTAGATTTGTACGAAGTTAGTTTTACACATGGATCACTAGATTTTTTTTTATTCTGTGTGAACCAGGGGTATGTCCTGCCTATAAATCTCAAACATTTGGAGAAACCTATCTCTGTACCTCACTGTACAGTAATTTCAGAGGCAGATGTAAAATACTTGTAACAGTGGATTCCATGCACACCAGCCGCTAAACATGAACAGGAAATTCAATGTTTCCAAGCGTTCTAAAACACTTCTCATACAGTTAAATTCTCAGTTAGGCAAATATCATTATCCTTCACTGTTCTGTCATTGGAAAACCATACATCTTTACAGGCTAGATAGATTTCTGGTGATTATGTTTGGTATTTTAAGTAGCAGTTATCACAATGTAAAGCTGGTCCTGAGTGCCTGAAAGAGGAAACTCTAAAGGAGGGTGCTATCTATCGGATGCCTAAGAGGGAAACAGATAAGGGCTTTGTCAGAATTGGTTTCCATGGAGACAACTTGTACCATGTTTGACTATGGTCGCTAATAGATCTTTACAGTACATCATGTCCTGATGTATAAAAAGGAAAATTTCAAAAACTTCTGAAAGGGGATGAAACAGGAAAATATGATGATACTTCCTTCACATGTCTTGGGGTTTGACCTGAGGATTCAGAGTCTGAGTTTTTTTCACATGGTCTCAGGGGAAGGTATTAAATCACAGTGCAAGTTAGAAGTCACTGAATAGCAGTGGATTATGGTGGGGGACACCAACAAATGAAGATATTCTGCATTATGATCAACGATGATTTTTTTAAAATATTGAATGGAGCAAAGATTAACAATCTAAAAACACTGGCTCTTCCTTCTGATTAATTCTTATCAAAAGTCTTTCCAGGTGACATAGACTGAATTGCCCCCATTTGCTCCACTGTGGATTGACTCATACCAGCAGGCATGGCTATAGCCTCCAGTGTCATAGACCTGGTTCACTCATAACATTAACCCAGTGTATGAGTTCAGTACAGGTTGAGTGTGACTTGTCATTGAATTGTGGGTTGTTTCGTGTTAACTTTGCTTTCTGGTTTAAGTATGGATTGTTAACCATGAATAACTCTGAAAGAAAATCTATGCTTTGTTGTGAACTCTGGTCTGCTTGTGGTTAACAACCTAACACATGACTTAATCATGGATTGTCATTGTATGTAAGCCAACAACCACCCACAATTCAACAACAACCTGTACTCAACCCAGGGGTTGTTGGGGTTGTTATGTACATACCAGGCCATTGCCTTTCTTTATGCTGCGAAAGGCATGGGTTTCATGCCAGCAACAGGAGCAGAAGCCACTCTTCACAGTGCTGATCAAGTCCCTGGCTTTGTGTAGTGCAGATCACCCCATGGGGGCAGAACTTGGCCAACACTAGCATGAGCAGGGACTCTTGCCAGCACCAACTTAGTCCCTGGCTTTGTGCAGCATATGTTGTCACCATGGAGTTCTGTGGCTGACTGAATGAATTAAATGAACACTTACTAGCTTAAATCCTGTTCATTTCAATGTGTTTTCTCTTTTGGATGCAACCAAAGATCAGAATCTGACAATTGGTCTTCCATCAGAGAAATGTGGAAGGAGGCCACTGTTGGTTGCTACACATGTTCAGGAGAAAATTAAAATATAAAGAAATGTTTGTCCAGATTCCTCTGTGTCATGGGGTAGATATTTTACAGGTAGCATATTAGGCAGATAATCAAGAGTGACATGTTTACATGCAAATATTTGAACTTTTAAAAGGGTTTTCTGGTAAAACTGATCTTCAGTGAATTGGTCAAAGCTATTTGGCCAATTTCAGACAGGTTAACAATTAACATAGCAATGCCATGCCTAACAGATATATATATCTACCACATGAAAAGGCCAAATGTATTACAATAATAATCTGCTTCACTTTAAACTTCAAAAATTGCTATAGACGTAATAGAAATGGAGATTACATAAAACTTGTTCTCTTGTTTTCCAGGTCCTTCTCTGCCATCAACATATTTGGGCCACTTAGACATATTTAAGGTAGTTATTTTCCCTGCTGGCTATCTAATGTATAGGTGCAATTAGCAGATATTTTGGTGTTTCCAGCCTAACAGTTGCCACATTCACAGATTGCCCTTGCTTTTCATAGAGCTGCCATTTTCCAAACCAGAGATGGGGCTAATTCTTTAAAAGCCTCTGCAGAGATGCAGCTGCCCTTTTACTTCCTGCACCTTCCCTCAGGCCCAACCACAATGAATGAGGCATAGGGGTTTGTACCGCTCCAGATGCTTCAAATATTTAGAGATCTCTTGAAATCTACAAGCGTGTCAGTGTATTCGATGCATCTTAGCATTGCTGACATTTGCCACTGAAGAAAAAAGGGCAGTGCTTGTTCTTTTGCCTTTTCCTTCATTAACTTAACTGACATAAAAGCCAGTGTGGCATGGTGATTAGAATGCTGGACAAGGATCTGGGAGATCCAGGTTCTAGTCCGCAGTTGGTCACAAGACTCACCGGATGTGACTTTGGGCTTGTCTCTCGCTCTCAGTCTAACTTACCTCACAGGATTGTTGTTGTGAGGATAGAATGGAGCTATGTAAGATGCCTTGGGTTCCTCACAAGAGGAAAAATTGGCTGGGCATGAATGCAGTGTCATAATAATTAGCCTTTTATTCCGCACAGTGCAAATGATAGCCAACCATGGTGTAGAGCACTGGCCTTGGGTAGCAGAGGTCTGCATTCAAATGCATGCTCAGTCGGTGTCAGTGGGCTTGTTGCTACCTTTCATTCTAACCAGCCTTACAGCAGTGTTGGGGAGATAAAATGATGTTATGTTTGCCACCATGAGCCTGATTACAATCTTTCCAACAGCACATTATCAGGATGTCCTGGTGCTTTCATTCCAATAGTTAAAAGCTGGTATGAGAACATATTTAATACCTAATCACATCTATGTTTGCTATTATCTGAGATAATTTCATAACCCCAGCAAGTAATGCCAGTATTTCATAGCATTACAAGATATGTCTTAGTATATATTATATGTTGTTAGTTGCAAAGTTGTGTCCGACCCATCACGACCCCATGGACAACATCCCTCCAGGCCTTCCTGTCCTCCACCATCCTCTGGAGTCCACCTAATCTCACGCCGACTGCTTCAGTGACTCCATCTAGCCACCTCATCCTCTGCCATCCCCTTCTTCTTTTGCCATCTATTGTTCCCAGCATTAGACTCTTCTCCAGGGAGTCCTGCTTTCTCATTAGGTGGCCAAAGTATTTGAGTTTCTTCTTCAGTATCTGGCCTTCTAAAGAGCAGTCAGGGTTGATCTCCTCTAGGACTGACCGGTTTGATCGCTTTGCTGTCCAAGGGACTTGCAGGAGTCTCCTCCAGCACCACAATTCAAAGGCCTCCATTCTTCGGTGCTCAGCCTTCCTTACGGTCCAACTTTCACAGCCATACATTGTAACTGGGAAAACCATAGCCTTGACTATACGCACTTTTGTTGGCAGGGTGATGTCTCTGCTTTTTAGTATGCTATCTAGATTTGCCATAGCTTTCCTCCCCAGGAGCAAGTGTCTTTTAGTTTCTTGGCTGCAGTCCCCATCTGCGGTGATCTTAGAGCCCAGGAAAATAGAATCTGTCACTACCTCCATTTTTCCACATCTATTTGCCAGGAAGTGAGAGGACCAGGTGCCATGATCTTAGTTTTCTTAATGTTGAGTTTCAAGCCAGCTTTTGTGCTCTCCTCCTTCACCCGCATCAAGAGGCTCTTTAGTTCCTCTTCACTTTCTGCCATTAGAGTGGTATCATCTGCATATCTGAGGTTGTTGATATGTCTCCCAGCAATCTTAATTCCAACTTGTAATTCATCTAGGCCTGCCTTTCTCATGATGTGCTCTGCATATAAGTTAAATAGGCAGGGTGACAGTATTCAGCCTTGCCGAACTCTTCTCAATTTTGAACCACCTAGTGGTTCCATGCCCAGGTCTAACTGTTGCTTCTTGACCCACATATAGGTTTCTCAAGAGACAAATAAGATGGTCAGGTACTCCCATCTCTTTAAGAACATGCCACAATTTGTTGTGATCCACACAATCAAAGGCTTTAGCATAGTAAATGAAGCAGAAGTAGATGATTTTCTGGAACTCCCTAGCTTTCTCCATGATCCAGTGTATTTGGCAATTTGATCTCTAGTTCCTCTGCCTCTTCGAAATCCTGCCTGTACTTCTGGTAGTTCTCAGTCCACATACTGCTGAGCCTAGCTTGTAGGATTTTGAGCTGATCTTTGCTAGCATGTGAAATGAGTGAAATGGTGCAGTAGTTTGAATGTTCTTTGGCATTGCCCTTCTTTGGGATGGGAATGTAAACTGACCTTTTCCAATCCTGTGGCCACTGTTGAGTTTTCCAAATTTGCTGGCATATTGAGTGTAGCACTTTTACTGCATCGTCTTTTAAGAATTTGAATAGCTCAGCTGGAATACTGTCATCTCCACTAGCTTTGTTGTTGCTCAGACTTCCTAAGGCCCATTTGACTTCACATTCCAGGATGCTCAAGGTCAGTGACCACCCATCGTGGTTATCAGAGATATTAAGCTCTTTCTTGTATAGTTCCTCTGTGTAATCTTGCCACCTCTTATCTTGCGAAATGACTATTTTGCCTCTGCGTTCTCCCCAAAACAGGACGGGGGATATCCGCAGAGGAGATTAGATGAGGCTGGGGACTTAGGGGCACAGATTAGAGTCACCCCCCTTGAAGTCGAGGGGCTCCTCAGGGCATTGGACATTACAAAGGCGCCAGGCCCTGACGTGTTATACCCGAGAGTACTTAGAGAGTTGGCAGGGGTTCTCTCATGCCCGCTGGCCTCCATTTTTGACACCTCGTGGAGAACAGGTGAAGTTCCAGAGGACTGGAGGGTGGCATCAATGGTCCCAATTTTCAAAAAGAGTAGTAGAAAGGACATGGGGAATTAAAGACCGGTTAGCCTTACGTCCATTGTAGGAAAAACAATGGAAAGGCTCATAATAGAGTGAGATCTAGTGATGCTAGATAGGGAAGGGAGGCTGACAGCCGCACAACACAGTTTTCACAAAAAAAGGTCCTGCCAGACAAACCTTGTGGAATTCTATGACAAGGTTTGAAGATGGCTAGATGGAGGGGATGCAGTGGATGTGGTATACCTGGATTTCAGCAAGGCCTTTGACAAAGTGCCCCATGATATCCTGGTGGAGAAACTGAGGTGTTTTGGGATACACCCAAGCACTGTCTGGTGGATTAGGGCATGGCTGACTGACCAAAAGCAGAAGGTAACCATTAGTGGGGAATCATCGGGATAACGGCCAGTAACAAGTGGGGTCCCCCAGGGCTCTGTCCTGGGGCCAATCCTGTTTAATGTTTTCATTAAAGACATGGAAGAAGGGGTGAACAGTGTGCTGATCAAATTCACAGACGACACTAAAACTGGAGCAGTGGCCACAACTGAGGAGCAGGTACTCCAGATCCAAAAGGATCTTGACAGACTATGGAAGTGGGCAGGAGACAACAGGATGGCATTCAATGTGGATAAGTGCAAGGTCTAGCACTTGGGGCATAGGAATAGGTGTCATAAGTACAGGTTAGGTGATAAGTGGCTGGAGAGCAGCACTTGTGAAAGGGACCTTGGGGTACTGGTTGACTGCAGGCTAAACATGAGTCAGCAGTGTGATGCGGTGGTCAAAAGGGCGAACGCCACCCTTGGTTGCATAGCCTGAAGTGTGGCTTCTAGATCAAGAGAGGTATTACTACCACTTTACACGACTCTGGTGCGCCCGCAATTGGAGTATTGTGTTCAGTTTTGGGCCCCTCATTACAGAAAGGATATAGCCAGGTTGGAGTCAGTGCAGCGTAGGGCCACAAGGTTGGTGGCCGGTTTACAGGGGATGCCGTATGAGGCAAGACTGAGGGAACTGGGTCTCTTCAGCCTGGAGAAGAGGAGACTCAGAGGGAATATGTTGGCGACATACAAGTATGTGAGAGGATGTCATATGGAGATGGGTAGAGACCTGTTCTCCCCTGCAGAGGAAGGCAGGACACGCTCCAATGGAGCAAAGCTCAGAGAGCCAAGGTTCCTTTTGGATGCCGGGAAGCACTTCCTGACAGTCAGGACACCGAGGATGTGGAATGGGCTTCCACAAGAGGTCGTTGAGGCCCCATCAGTGCGGGTGTTCAAGGATAGGCTGGACGTCGACATGGTGGGCATGTCGTGAGCGGAGCCGCCTGGTGCCGGAGGTCAGACTAGATGGCCTGGGAGGCCCCTTCTGACTTGCTCTGTTTCTATGTTTCTATGTTTCTCTTCTTAATCTCTTCTGCCTCTGTTAAGTCCCTGCCATTTTGGTCCTTTATCATGCCCATCTTTGCATGAAACGTTCCCTGCATATCTCCAATTTTCTTGAAGAGATCTCTGGTGCTCCCTATTCTATTGTTTTCTTTTATTACTTTGCACTGTTCATTTAAGATGGCAATCTTATCTCTTCTAGCTATTCTCTGGAATTCTGCATTCAATTGGGTGCATCTTTCCTTTTCTCCCTTGCCTTTTGCTTCCCTTCAGGTTTCTTTTCCATTTTACTCAGGGAGAGATGGATGCAGATTTGCACTTTCATTTTCCTTAATTAGGAATAAGAAGCAAGTATAAGATGTGTGTATGCAGGCAGATGTACACATGTGCATAAAGGTTCTATATTCGGTTTCTTTTCTGTTTTAAGGGAGAGAAAGGAGATAATGGAGAAACTGGCCTTAAAGGAGAAAAGGGAGAGCCAAGTGGAGGGTTTTTAATGTCTGGACCACCAGGGCTTCCGGGAAGACCAGGACCAGTGGTGAGCTTTATCTGTATCTGTATTAAAAATGGTCTCAGTAAGGCCATATTGCCTGCATTTAAAGATGTGTGTTGTTTCCCTTCTACATATTAATTAGCTCCACTTGACCAGTTCCTGGCTTTTAAGCATTTCCTTTAACATCCACAGTGTGTGCATTCATGTGTTAGTGTGTGCAGCCATACATGCCTGAGGCTTACAACCTCTCCTGGGCCCACAGTTCTTCATTTTAGAATCATAGAGTTGGAACACAGGTGTAGGCCATCAAGGCCAACCCCTTACATGATAAAGACATTCCCAAGCTAGAGAGTCCCCAACCAGTGGACTTCCAACAATTCCTGATGAACTCTTTATCAATCCTGACCTTTCATCATTTGTGAAGTTTGGCTCCTGTTTTTGGAAAAAATGGAAACCAAGTGGAAGGTGAGTAGCGATGCCTTCTCTCAATCCCTTATGAATATTTTACCCCTCTCTGCGTCACCCATTCTTCCTGAGCAGTGGTTCTACCACTTCTTCTTCCTTCATACCTATCCAAAAAAACCCCACTGAATATTATTGTAAGTATCCCCCACCAACCTCAGCCTGTTTGGAACTTTAGTTTTTCTGTCATTCTTACAAGTGGACTTCTTGTCTGTTCTTGTCCTTAGTTAGCTGACTTTTCTTTCAGTATATATTCATCCTCCTTTTAAAAATTTCTGCTCATTACTACGCTTTTTTGTGCAGGCACAATGGCTTTTTAAAGACATTTCCCATTTTTTTCTCCTATTGTAATTGTGATTGTACTGTCAGTAATTTTTTCTATTAGTAAATCTAGCCATGGAATCCACTTGTAAATCCACCTGTTCTGCTTTGGAGCTATTTTTAACAACCATTGCTTAGTTCTCATAGAAATAATAAATCTATGTCTGGGCTACAACATTGCAAACTCCAGATGGGGCAACCCCTCCACACAGATGGAAGCTAGATGTTAGGCTAGAACACTTGTCTATGACATTTTGTTGTCTATGTGGAAGTTGGTCAGTGGGTCTGTCTCCCCTCCCCTCCCCTCCCCTTTCGGTTTTTGTTTGTTTTAGAAGAACATCTGGTGATGGAATCCACTTGTCCCTACTTTCTGTTTGCAGTGTAGCCACACTTGTTTAGCAGCCTGTCCCCAGTCTAACTGGTGAGCAGGCTGAACTTTCCAGACAACCTAATGGTTCATTCTGAAGTACAGCTGTTCATCATGCCAGTTCCCATTGTCTCATCCCCAAAGAGAATTCAAAAATTCAGGCAGCTCCATAACAGTTGTATAAGTTTTCATCTTAGTTGGGAGCAGGAGCAGGGATTTTTTTAAAAGGTCATGTTTCTTAACTGCCTATTCCATACAGAGTCACCCCAAAATAATTTTACAATGCAACAGGATTGCTCACAACAACATATTATTACTGGGAAATCAGTTTCCCCCACAGGAAATGGGAGATCCTGAAGGAAGGGGTGGCAGTATGTCATTAGTGCCCTCAAATGCTACACACACACACACACACACACACACACTGCCCTGGTGTTTACCTTATATCATTTTACTGAATACATGCACCCACTTACTTGTAAAATAGTATGTTTGCATCATAAAAGCAATGTAAATATTTGACTTTGTAAATGTATGTGTCTAAAGTTGTAAATGTATGTGTCTAAAGTTGCCACCTGGAAAATATTCTGTGAGTATCAATATGGTTTCTCAGATCATTACCTTTAAATATAGTATTTTTAAAAAAATACATTTTGTTGCTTTGTTAATACTTGTTTGTTTGTATGTTTTTAAAGTTTTGTTAACTGCTCAGATAGCCTTAGCTACGGGGTGGTTTAAAGAGGAAATACATGAATAATTTATTTACAAATGCTTGCTTTTCCTACTTTGATAGGGGCCAAAAGGAGATACAGTTGTTGGGCCTAGGGGCCCTCCAGGGGTACCTGGCCTCCCTGGACCACCAGGATTTGGACCACCTGGGCCTCCTGGGCCCCCAGGGCCTCCTGGGCCCCCAGGGCCTCCAGGGTCTACTGCCATCTATGGCTCAGGTATGTCATATCAACTTTCACCTGTGCATGAAACATGTAAATGCATACACGTGCATCTGTGTATCAGTGGTTATGATATGAATATTTAAATCATAGAATGGTAGAGTTGGAAGAGGCCATAAAGGCCACTGGGTCCAGCCCCCTACTGTTGCAGGACACAAGTTCACACCATCTCACTCAGGTGACCATCCAGTTTTGCCTTGAATGTCTCTCATGTGGGAGACCCCACAATCTCTCTTGGCAACTGGTTCCACTATCATATTGCTCTGACAGTGCAGAAGCTTTTCCTGATATCTAGCCTTAATCTGGGTTGTCGCAACTTGAATTGATTCTTCTGCATCTTACACCCTGGTATCAGCAAGTAGAGATCTTGACCTTCCTCTTTGTGAGAGCCTTTGAGGTACTTACAGAGTAATATTACATCCCCCCACCCCTAGTCTTCTTTTTGCAAGGCTGAACAAACCCAGCAAAGCTAAGGTCAAGGTAGATTATGTCCTCTGTCTGTTTGGGAAGTTACCCAGTGAAAAAATTAAATTAGTCTGACAGAATTTATATTTGATAAATCCAGGTTGGCTTCTATTAATCACTCCATTTTCTTCTAAGTGCTTGCAGACTGATTTTTTAACAATTTGCTCCAGATATTTTACAAGGATTGATGCCAGATTTACTGGTCTGTAGTTTCCAGGTTCATCTTTTTTTCCCCTTTTTGAGGATGGGGACAACATTAGCCCTTCTCCAGTCATCTGGGACTTCTCCTGTTTTCCAAGATTTATTGAAGATAATAGCCAGTGATTCTGAGAGTTCCTCTGCTGGCTCTTTTGTGATTCTGGAATGGAGTTCATAAGGCCCTAGAGACTGGAACATGTTTATTCCATCTAGGTAGTCCTTGACCATTTGTCTGTCAGTCTTGAGCTGCCATCTCTCACTTTCAGTTTGTACTTCCTCTTGTAGTACAAAAACTGAGGCAAAGTAGGAATTGAGCGCCTCCACCTTTTCCTTGTCATCTGTGATTACTTTGCCATCCACTTTAAGTGCCGTATTTTTCGCTCTATAAGACGCACTTTTTCCCCCTCAAAAGTAAGGGGAAATGTCTGTGCATCTTATAGAGCGATTGTGTGTGTGCCCGACGCCCGGGATGCTGCCGGCCCACCTGCACCACGTGGCACCACCTGGCCGGCATGCGCTCAGTGCGCGCTGCTCGGCCCCCCCCCCTTCCCGCGCAGTTGAGAGCTGTGCCGCTCAGAGGGAGCGGTGCGGAGGAGGAGGAGCCACGGGCTTTAACCCGCTGGCCGCACGGAGAGACGGACTGCTCACCCCCACCGCCCGGGAAGACCTGCTGCTGCCAACCACCACCGGCACGCTGCCGGCCCGGCTGTACCACACCTGGCCAGCACGCGCTCGGCGTGCCCTGCTCCCCCCCTCCTCCGATGCAGGTGAGAGCTGTTAATCACAGGTCGGTGTGTGTTTTCAAATGGCAACCTGTCTTTTAATGAAGCCCATGGGGAAGTGATGGGGAATGTGCCTGTGATTATCAGGAAGCTTTCCATGGATCCATCCTCTAAAAACTAGGTACGTCTTATGGTCAGGTGCGTCTTATAGAGCGAAAAATACGGTAGCTGGACACCCTTATCTTTCACATGGCTTTTGTTTTCTTGTTGTTCTCAGCATCCCTTGCTATTCTCAGTTTACTTCCTGCTTTAGCCTCCCTGATGCCATCCCATATCCCTTGGTATATGTTTATATTCTTGCTTCCACCTCCAGCACAAGTCCTTTTTTTCTTTCAGGTCATCACTTAGCTCTTTGTGGAGCCACATGGGCTTCTTCTGTTGTCTTCTACACTTTTTTCTTGTTGCAATTGTTCATAATTGTGCTTGGAGAATTTTTTTTTCAACATTTCCCACTTTTAGACTCCCTTTCCTTTAAGAGTGAGTTACCATGGCACCTCACTTACCATTGTTCTGAGTTTGTTAAAGTTGGCTTTCTTGAAGTCCAGGATATGTGTCTGGCTGCAGTTAACCGTTGTCTCCCTTATAATTGAGAATTCAAGTATGGCATGGTTACTTTTCCCCAGAGTTCCTGTAGCTGTTACTTTGTCCACTTGGTCTTCCCTGTTGGTTATTCAAGTCAAGGATACCAGTTCCTCTTGTTCCTTCCTCCACTTTCTGTTGGAGAAAGGTATCAGCAACACATGTTAGAAATCTCTTGGGGCTGTACTTGGCAGAATTTGTCTCCATAACAACTGGCAATTTGCTTTTTAAAGCTATCATCCTTGTCTTCTGCTTGATGGGATGGTCAATAATAGACTCTAATCACTGTGTTTCTTTTATTACTTGCTCCATGTATATTAATCCAGATGTTCTTGATGGGGCCACTAAACTCATCCTCCTGTATTTCTGTGCAGAGATATGTATCTTTAACAAAGAGTGCGACTCTGCCTTCCTTTCTATTCCTTCTTTCCTTCTTAAACAGGTTATATCCTTCAGTTGCTGAATTCCAGTCATGGGAGTCATCCTATCAAGTTTCAGTTATACCTGTCAAGTCATTCACTCTCCTGTGTTAATAGTTCAGATCATGCTGTTTGTTTCCAGCACTCCCGGCATTAGTATATAGACATACAAGACCATGTGCTTTATACTCCAGCTTTCTTCCTGCATTTTTTGGAAGACCGTTATTGGGCATTGTTAAAGCTGCTCCCTCTGTTGTGGTGCATAAGCTTTTGTCTGTTGTTATGCCCAGGTGTACTCCCTCCCCTGCAGGATTCAGTTTAAACCTCTCCTGATAAGCTTTTTAATGCTGTGGCCAAACATGTTCTTTCTAGCCCTTGTAAGCTGCAACCCATTCTTTGCCAACAGTTCACCTTCCGGGAAGTATAGCCCATGGTCTCAAAATCCAAATTTCTCACATTGGCACCAGCTTCATAGCTAAGCATTCACTTGGAGTATTTTTCTTTCCCTGTCTATTTCTCTTCCAAGAACTGGAAGGATGGAAGAGAAAACTATCTGGGCCCCAAAGTTCTTGACTTTCCTCCCTAAAGCTTCAAAGTCTGACATGCAGTGGTACCTTGGCTCATGAACTTAATTCGTTCCAGGATTCTGGTCGTGACCCAAATTGGTTGTGAGCCAAGTCAAATTTCCCCATAAGGTTCAATGTAAATAAGGTTAATCCGTTCTGTAACCATTTTTTAATCACAAAAATTTGAAATAAAGTGACAAAAAACAACAAAGATTGTGGCTATCCTGCGCCCCCACAGCACAGTCGCGGCCATCTCCTTCCCCAGCATGACCGCGATTGCGCCTGTCTTCCCTGCATGAGTGCGACTGTGGCCATAGATGGGTGTGATCGTGGGTGTGCTTGGGGGGGGGGGGACTCCTGCGATCACCACCTGATGCAGAATTTGTGACCAGAGGCAAAAATTTTGTGAAATTTCTGTTTGCGACCTGTTTTGGTTGTGAACTGAGGCATTTGTGAGCCAAGGTACCACTGTAGTTCCTTCAAAGATTAATTAATTAATTAATTAATTAAAACATTTCTATGCCGCCCCATTCACCCAAGCCTCGGGGCGGCTCACAACATAAGATAAAGTACAAAAATAACAATATAAAAATAACAATATAAAATAAATAATATAAAAGAAGTCACCCTGGCCAGATAAAAGCAAATACTGTTAACAATTAAAATGACGCTTAAATAAAAAGGTCTTCACCTGGCGCCAAAAAACAAATAACGACGGCGCCAGGTGGACCTCTCTGGGGAGCTCATTCCATAGATTGGGCGCCACCACAGAGAAAGCCCTCCTCCGAGTACCTACCCTCCTAATTTCTTTCACGGAGGGTTCCCGGAGAAGGGCCTCTCCCGCAGATCTCAAGGGGCGGCCGGGCAAAGATCCACTTGGCAGTGTCATTTGTTCCCACATGTATAAGAAGGAAGGGATACGTGTCAGTGGGTTGCATAAGCCTTGACAAACTTTCAGTTATATCACTAATCTGCCTTCCAGGGAGACAGCATACCTGACAAGTCCACATGTCTTCCTGACATACATGCGTTTCCATCTCACACAGCAGGGAGTCTCCCACACCTAACACTCTTCCTGTTCTTGCAAGCCCTGGTATCATTGCAATTACTTGGTTGACCTTTAGCCTCTGGTTCAGTGTTGCACAGGATGACTTTCAATTCCTCCACAGGAGGCTGCCTTCCAGTCTCACCCTCAAGATACTGGAAGTGGTTCGATAGTTCCACTGTTTCCACTAGTGCAGAGTGTCTTCTAGTTCTTCTGTACCTGTCACCCCTTTCCTTGAAGTTTCCTCCTCACTTTTCCTTCCATCAGCATTCTCCTGTTCTGCCTCAGCTTGCTGTTACACTTCTAGCTTCTGTACTGCTCTTAGCTGTTGTAGTTCCACTGCTCTAAAAACCCCTCATCTTCTTTTATTCCCTTGATGGTGGACACTCGCTGCTCTAGTTCTCTCACCTTTTCCAACAGGAAGAAACTTGCACTCGATGCATGTGTATACTATGTTGCCCTCAGGCAGGAAAACAAACATTGCACAGATGTTGTGGGTCACCACCACTGCGGAGTCTTTTTGGTCCATTCCTTCTGCTACCTTCTTGATTCTAATTTGCTGGGTCTGTTGTAAAAACCAGCGCTCCCTCCGTCTTCTCTGAAGGTTAACCACAGAATTCTACCAATAAATGGGAGTTTGTTACAAGGAAGAAAACAAAGAGGGTGGAGAAACTTGGGGGGGGTGGAGTTAGGGACCTCCCCCACCAAACTCCTGTTTGCTCTCCCTGTTCATTCACTCCAGTCGCTTGGAGCTTGGCTGATTCTATTCCAGATGCCCTAGACCAACAAGGGCAGCTTGCTCTGACCTGCTCAGACCAGAGTCAGGAACCAGAATGAGTGTGGAGTATGAAATAAGCCTTGGAGTGTGTTTTTGTATTATTGCATTGTTTCCTAAAACTGTGTGTGTGTGCATCATGTGTGTGTAGTTAATAATATATCTGCAGTTCCATTCTGAGGACAACTTTCATATCAGAAGTGCTCACTTAGAAAACTCACAAACAGTAGAAGCTGATGTAACATACCTTAGTTATGTAGATATGTTACATAGGTAACATACCATGTGAAGAAATAAAATGCACATTCAGGATATAATATCTCAAGGAACACGAGTGGAACTGACACTGGAGAGCTACTGCTAACATTAGATTAGTTGGACCAGTGGTCTCCCTTGTTAGGAAGCTCCTCAGATCCTCATGACATTAGAGCCATACTCTGCCACTCCTGTCCCCTCTTCTACTGCATTCCTGTTAAGGGGCAAACTAGGGGCAGACCAGGAAGCAGGTGGGATGGAATCAATATGTGACTTTTTTACTGGCACTGTCATGCTGACTCACAGGTGAGGTATGGGACACACTCTCAAAACTGTCCTCCTGCCCTTTCTGTCATTCCCAGATTTTTTTCAGGCCTTTTACAGCACAATTTAAGGTTAAGTTATTCAAGCCACAAAACTCAATGCCTAAACTGCATAGCTTTCACTTTATAATGATGTGTTCATTTTGGGAACATAGCCACCACACAGTATCGACTTTATCACTAACCTGGAAAAACAAAAATCTATATCATGATTTTGCTCTTTTAAGCAGCACCTATGCCAGGGCCACCAGGACCTCCCGGAGAACCTGGATTGCCAGCATCTAGGAACTTGGTAAGATAGTGCCCAATTCTTAAAAGTTTGCTAATATTGTCCCTAAACACAATGGAAACATTCATACAGACCATAAAGAGAGTTAACTGTGGGTATGGCCAGGTTTGTAGGTTCTACATGACCATCTGCAGAAATATATGGACTGCTGCTTGCAGCCCCTCATTGGGTATGCAGAACGTCACTGTATGAACCAGTGCCACAAGTTGGGTCTATATGTAGCCACTGCAATTTGTGCAAAGAGCCCCCAAGATCATGTGGACTGGGCTGGCTGCATGTACTAGGCTTGACCAGAAGAGTTTATTACAAATTTAGATTAATGGGTACATTGACAACTTCCAAATTTAACCAGCAATTATCTGGTTAAGACTGCAATCCTATGTCCTTTCACCTAGGAGTAAGTCCAAATAAACTTAATGAGACCTCTTCTGAGTAGATGTGTAAGGATTGCACTAAAGCAGAGAGGAGACAAAGAACCGGGTGACTTGGAGTAATGTGCAAATGGTATAGGACAGCAAAGGAGGAAAACTTAATGTGAAATATGGGAATTTAGTAATACAAGTCAAATGGACACACAAGAAGCCTAATCAAGTTGGGAGAAAAGGGATTAAAATGTTAATACCTTGGCCCTGGCAACACACGTTAATATGGGTAAAGTTGGAGAGGACAGAAAAAAAAGAAGTTAGAGTATGGGTATTTCCTATCCCAAATCAAGGAAGGTAGAAGGGGGAATGGACAGATTCTGGTATTGTTTTCCAGTTCTTCCTGCATGGTGATTCCCTTCCTGACTAGGGACTGGCAAAATCAGTCAATAAATAAGTTATGGCACCAGAATGTGTTAGGGGCCATGCAGGGCATTTCTGCACACTGGAGAAGCCATGCTTGGGGAACAGAGGGTAGACTCCACTCCTCTTGGCCATAGCATAGGAGAAAAACATACACACACCTGCAACTCATTTTGTCCTGTATGCCTACTCCTATGTCAGTGCACTTTCTCCAACACTGTGGAGGTAAGTGTCGTGCGGCTGGAGCACTCTTCCCATGCACTCCAGCAGTTAGAGCTTTAAATCTTTTATTCTAAGAAACTTCAAAGCTACGCAGACAAGAAACAACAAAGGAGCTTGTAATGATGATGATAATGGCTATGTTGTCCCCTCTTTCTGATGGGAATCAGATTATGAAACACTCTTGACCCGTCTGGGACACCCCTCTCTGGGTGGGTCAGACAAGCTTCTCTTCCTCCTCCTTTCCATTTCCCTCTACTCCAGTTGCCCCAAACTGGGCGTGCTCTCCTCCTATCTCGAGGGCTAGCTATACTTTTCCCTGGGTCTTTATCTCCGGCTTGTCCTGCCGTTTCCATGGTAACCTGCTCACCTCCCTCTGCCCTGGTTCCATTATCAGCTTCTGCTGAAAAGCTGCCTGTCTCCTCTGCCTGAAAACTTTGTCCAAGTCAGAGCGGGGAGGGTGTTTGTACAATGGGCACCAGGTAGAAATCTTACTGCTCTGGGGCTTGCTTCTTACAGGGAGCACCCTGCTCTCACATGTGCGCCAACGACTCCTCTGAGTCGCTGCGCACGTCAGTAAGATGGTGAAGAAACCACTAAAGATGCAGAATGCACTTCTTTGGCAAAAGCGTCAAACAAGTATCAAAGGGCCTAATCTCATTTGGGTTACTTAAAACAAAACCTACAATACCAATATTTGTAGTGGGTGAAACTGAATTGTATTTTTGAAGAACTCACAAGTAGGCAATTTTGTATTTTATGTAACAAGAGTACAACAACAGTACTAATTTCTCCCTAAGATTTTCCTTAGAATTTCTTCCTGAGGTAATGGCTCCATGTTTATATTTCTCTAAGTATGGTCAGCATTTTCTGGCAAGGCATGGTGTCATAGAAGAACATAATTTTTCTCTTTCCTGGATCCATACTGTCCTGCAAGAAGAACAAATGCACAATTTAAGTAGAATTCCTGGAAAGATAGAAGTTCCCTTTAAATATTGAAAACAAAAACTCTGCACTAGCTTTGAAGGCTGCCAAGTGACAGCTTGGCCATCAGAGTCCCAGCACCAAGCACAGACTCTCAGTGGTGGAACTTCAGATAGGTTCCCAGATGCTGTTGGAAGGCCATAGGACAGCAGTCTCAGTCTGTAAAGTCAAAGTTGACAAGTTCATGGTGGATCATGGCTAGTCCTGGAGGCTATATGCTCTTTCCAGTGTGAGAAGCAATTTACTTAGGTACAGAAAGTTCTGGGGAACATAAATGGATTCTTGCACATGGATTCTTGCACTTATGTCCTACTCTGTGAGCTTCCCCACAGGCAGCTATTTGGCCACTGATTGAATGTCGGACTGGGTGAACCCTTGGTCTGATCCAGCAGAGTTATTCTTTAAAGAGTTATTTTTTTCACCCATATACACATAGATGCAATAAAATATGTTTCTTAGTCCTGATTTTCAACCAGCTTCAGTTAGCATCATAGATAATAACCTGAGAAATGGGTCAACTGCATAATAGTAAAGATAAGCCTTGCCCTAAAACAGTCAATCAAGACTACTTGGGTATTACTCTCACAATGTTTTCCAAGGGAGATTGCACAGGATAGTCAACAGTCATTCTGGAATAAGGCAGCAGGTCAGTCCAAAAACAAGAGAGAGTCATGTTGAGGCTCATTCCAGAATCATTCACAAGGGCCCAATCAAGGCAACAAGGCAGGGAGCTAGAAACAAAGTCTCAAAATGTTGGACTGAGGTTAGACAGTTCTAGCCAGCCTTTTATTCAGGAGTCTGCTGGGTAAACCCAGGCTCACACAGGCAGTCTAGCACTCGGCCAGAAAGGGAAGACTGGCATGCCTCCCTTCAGATGGCAGTGTTCTTGAGAGCTGGGGCACAGGGCCCTGGCCCTGGGTCAGACTCCGAGTGTTCCTGTGGAGAGGAAAGACTCTCTCCAAACATCCCTGAGGACACAGCTTCATCCACTGCCAGCATGTTTCCTTCCAGGTTCCTGCCTCTGCCTCATCCATAGACACCAGCACATCCCCGCAGGCTTTTCTGGTGAGGACTCCTCAAACAGAGGCATGGCACCTACTGGGAAAATTATCAGGATATGGGCAAAGGGAACTTGAACTGGTGTTAGCAATTCTCTTGCCCCCTTGGCTTTCTTTTAGTCCCTTGCTCTACTTTGCTATTTTCCTGCCACTGGGGGGCAGTAAGGGCAGCTTCCCAGTGGCCCATGTCAGAGGCCATATATGCATTCTTTCAGCTCTGCTGCCTCAGGGCACACTTAGGTTCTGTTCGGTGAAAAACAAATTTCCTTTCCTGAACTGAACACTTCTTGCCCAGATAAAAACAACATCCTTAAATGCCATTTTTTTTGTATTTGATCAGTTGATCTTATGTTTTTCTCTTGACAGGTTACAACACTTAGAAATGTTAACACTATGCTACAAATGGTTCATTTAGTGTCAGAAGGCACACTGATCTATCTTAGTGAAACCAGTGATGTTTTTATCCGTGTTCAAAATGGATGGAAAAAAGTACAGGTAAATAGTTCATTCTAGGTCATATGGCTCATCTACCGCCTGTCATTTCTGAAAGGAATGTGTCAGAGTTGAAATTCTCCTTCAGGGAATAAGAATTACTTTCATACAATTCCTTGCTGCTTCTGTGCCTGTTCCAACTCACCATGTGTTTCCTTCCAGCTTGGAGAACTGATTCCCATCCCTGAACACAGTCTCCCACCTCCAGCCATTTCGAGCCCAGTAAGTGTTAAATGAAAGAAGGGGTGTTGCCAACAGGCCCACTAGCTGTCGATATGCAGTGGGATGTGGGTGCTGGGCCCGTGACTGTTCCAATCTCCTGCTGTTCATGGGAAGCAACATGAGAACTCACATGTATGTGGCATCTGCCCATTCTCACTGTCCTGCATCCTCTTTGGAGAGGTTAGGTTTGTGGAGATTAGGCAAATCCTGATGAACGCATTGACACAAATGAACACATTGATGAACAAATTGAACACAATTTGTTTATCCTGGCTGTTGTTATATGTGGGCTGGTTTATTATTTCAGCATGGGAATTGCTGCCAAATATTAGATGGAAGTCTGTTTAAGAGCAGGTTGGAAGCTGTCTTGATAGCTGCCCCACTGATCGGTAAACAGAATTGGCAGGGGGTGGGGCAGAAAACTCTGGGAAAGCTGGCTCTGTTGGTGCAAGGAGTGGTTCAGCTTCATTTGAGGGCACCTGCCTTGATGACTATTGTCTAGTAACTGTGATACTAACACATCTCTCTCCTTCACTCCTCAGTGCAATGTTGCACTGGCTTTTTCTTGTTACTGATGATAGGAAGTTTTAGGTGAAGAATAACCATTTGTTTTGAAAACAAATCTGCCATTTTCCTGATACCCAAAAGGAAGGACAAGACTGAGAGTCACTTTGCTGAGATAAATATCTGTCATGTGAGTTGCAAAGCTCACTTCCAAAGGCTCCTAGCATCCAACATCTTCACTCATGTTTCTCCCACCCCCACTTGTAATGCATTATTTCAACCTTTGTAATTTGTTGTGTGTTACACCAACAGGGATTTCAACCCCTTCCAGCACCAATTCCAGCTGACAGCACAAGGCCAAGTGTAAGTTTATGGGGCAGCTCATTGGGGCAAAGGAGTATTTGCACTGACCCTCTTGTCAGGATATATCCCAGGATGAATTGTTGCAGTTCATACCAAACTGGGGCTAGAGTCACTAGTCAGTGTTACACTTGCTGACCTTGTCTCAGATATGGGAATCCCTCTTGCTGTTAATTCCCCAGATGTCTGAACAAACCTTGTAAAAATTCAGGAGGACCTGCAGCTCAAGAAAGGCTGCCTGCTTCCTATCACCACAGAGCACCAGATCTGCTTATTCCTGAGTAGATCTGCAGGTGAGGAAGGCTCTAGCCAGCTGTCTATATTGGAGACCTTTCCTAGCTGATCTATATCAATCTCATCCGGGTAGGTCAGATTGTCTGAAAGCTGTTCCAGGTCAACAGACTCTGCTTCAGGTAGAGCATCAAAAGATACCCAACCATCCCCATGCCCCCATACTTAGTATCCCAGGGCAGTTCAGTTGTTGCCTCGGACTCCATTCCAGAGCAACTTTCGGACCAAAACCAAATAGAGCTGTAGTCAACTGCTTTGCTGCAAAACTCTTGGGGCTTTTCTGCATAGGGCTTTTCTACCTGAAGCTTTCAATCAACCACTTTACTGAAGCTTCTGAGTCCTGATTCTTTGCAGGATTAAGATCAGCTCCTTTATACATTTTCCTTCCTACCTCACATTGTTCTTTCTGTCTTTCTAGCTGTTCCACTGCACACAAGCATGAGGGGGCATAGTGGCACTGCACAAATACATGAGGCTTTCATGCTGCTCTTTCCAGATAATGCCACACTCTTCTCCATCTTAAAAAGCTGCAGAAAGCATAGGAGAGATCCTGGAAGATGATGATGTCATGCAAAGCTCTGACATATACAGAATGAGGAATCATGTGCACACAATAGCTGTCCCATGCCAAAAGGCTGCTTGAACCAAGATTCAAAGGTAGCAGTGGTAGTGATTTGATTGCTCCTGTCTAGATCAGTAGAGCACAGCCTTAACATTTCACAAATGAGGATAGGTGATGTATTAGGGATCAATACCCATGTTCCTTCCCTCCACACACACTATTGAAAGTTCTGTTCCACTTCATGGAACATGATCACCCATTTGCTTTATGTTCTGTTGCCAGATCAGCATGGTTAGTGTCAGTCTAGTATATGAAGAATCAGCTTGAACCACCTAGTTATCCATAAAGTTTGGTGGGTGACCTTGGGCCAGTCACTACCTCTTAGCCAAATGGTTTACTAATATCTTTACATCAAGTTATTTTAAACTGAAATACTTTCTAAAGAGGCGAGGAAATAGTTTTTTCCCTTATTTCCTAATTTTTAAGTGTTTGCATTTTGTATGTAATGCTAAAAAGAAAAAAGTTTTACTTTATTAACCTTGGTTTATATACAATACTATTTTTAGGAGCAGTAGGAAAGAAGGATGCTAGTGTTTCATACCATATTACAACAGTAGATGTTTCTGCTATTGGATTAGCCTCAGCACTCCTACAGCTTGTGACTGCTTTCAGTCTGTGCTGGTGACAATTATTCTTCATGATAGGTTAGTCTAAATATTCTCATTTGGAATGCACTGCTCCACAAGTTACTTCAGCTTTATTCAAGGGCATTTGATGCTATCTATGGAAAGGCGGAACAATAGATATTCTAACTCTAGAAATGAACTGAGGACAAAGACTTGTCTGGCAATTTCAAAGCAGCACAAAGCAATTCAGTCTTACTTGCCACTGCAACTCCATCAAATCTCTCTCCTTTCTGCCTGTCCTCGCTCTACATTTTCCCGTCCCTCCTGCTTCCTCTCTCAGCTTTCTTCTCCCCCTCATTAGGGCCACTACTTCTTCCTGCTCTCCTAGTCTGCCCCCTGCTTTCCATCCTCTGGCCCATGCTCTTCCTAGGCCCCTGCCTCATACTTCTCCTACACCTAGGCTCTTTTGCCTTCTTGAGGATATGAATAGCTAGAGGAATCCACTCACTCTGCTTGTTGACTTTAATGCAGCTAGAGGTTCCACACATGTACGCAATCCCTTAGAAATAGGAAACCTTCTATCAAGAATCACATTCCCTCACAGGCAATCTGTCAGCAGCCACATACCTATTGTGGGCAAATGCAGAGTCAAACCTAGATGAGTCACCCATGTTATCTTTTCCTCTCTCCTTCTCCCTTCCCATGTAGCAGCTGCCAGTGCAGGAACATACCACTCTTGCCAGGCATATGAACTGAGTGCATATAAATGGTTTTAAAAATTAGCAGAGGGTCACATGAAATGCCTGAGGGCTGCATGAGGCCTGGGACTGCAAGTTGCCCACCCCTGCCTTAACATTCTTTTACTCTACAGCTTCATCTGGTGGCTTTGAATGCTCCATTTTCTGGTGATATGAGAGCAGACTATGAATGCTTTCAACAAGCTCGGGCTGCTGGTTTAGTCTCCACATACAGAGCATTTTTGTCTTCACATCTTCAAGATCTCCTGACAGTTGTCAGGAAAGCAGATAGATATCTTCTGCCTATAGTTAATCTTAAGGTAAAACACTTCACTTGCTTTGTTTTCTGAAATTAACTCTTATCAACATAAGCTATGCACTGGAAGTGTAATATATATCTGTGATATAAGTGGCATGACTTACAGGTATAAATAGGGGGAAAGCCCTAGGCCTTGACCTGTACCCCCATCCCTTTTCCATTCATTAAGGAAACAGATATTTTGTAAGAAATAGCTTAATGTGTCTTTCACCTCTGAGCAAGTACAGTCTGTCCCCTCACACTTAAAATTAAGAAACAGTCTTCCTCTCCCAAACAGATCGTAGGGCATCTTGGCAAATCTGAGGCCTAGCACTTTGCTTTTAAAAAATTAAGAAGAGTATCCTCTCTGTTCCAGCCACTGCCTCTCACAACAGTCTGAAAACATGGGCCAAAAATATTCTGCAGCTTCAGAAGCTTTTTATTCTCCCAGTATTTTAATTGTTAATTTGTTTTAGTGGAGGGTTTATATTTTAACATTGGATGCTGGGCAATTGTTATTGTTATTTTTTGGATTTATTTGCTGTAAACCGTCCCAAGACTTTTAAGTATGGGATGGTATAGAAAATAAATGAATAAATAAATAAGCAAGCAAGCTCATGGTGATACATCTTCACTATCTCTTGCCAGGATCTGTACCTGCTTACTTGTCTTGATAGAATGCCTGTCCTGTAGTGCCATAACTGCTTCTGCTGTGGGGCTTGGAATGGGCAGGGAGAAGTGGCTACCCATAGTCACCAGTCACATACTCCAGCCCAGCCCTGCAGTCCTTCCACAGCCATGTCTTGGCCTTGTGCTTTGTGGAACAAAACCAGGGCCACCCTGGCTCAAACTGTCCAATGGGGAAACTGAGGGAGAGGCAGGGTGAGAGAACAACTGCTTCTTCCTTCCTGCTGAATATTCAGGATCATGCTGAATATTCAGTTCATTTCAATTTTAAGAGGTGGCTTCTTTCCTTTCCAATAGGGAGAAATACTGTTCAATAACTGGGAGTCAATATTTTCAGGCAATGGAGGACAGTTTGATCTACAGATTCCAATATATTCCTTTGATGGAAGGAATGTCATGACTGATCCAGCTTGGTAAGTTCATGTTGTTGGATATTATTTCTGAAATTAACTGTTTTAATTTAACTCCAGTAAGATTAGTCTATGATCACACTTTTGGAAGCCTTACAGTACTCCTGGAATCTGGCAACAGCTGGAAGGATCAGCGTAGGCACTATGCTTAGTGTCAGGAGGTGAGATTATAGCACCCATAGGTTCTTTTAACATTACAAAACCAGCACAAGCTACTTCTCTCCTTGGGACCAAACTAAAAATTGAGGGTGACACAGACCTAAGTAAACACATATCCCCACTCCCTGCCTGCTCTCCCTGAACTGTGCTGAATGAGAACTGAGAGCTCAACTATACATTATGCTAACTGTATTACAGTTGGCTGAGGCTTGTCTGATATATTACTCTGGGTTAAACATGCATGGCTGCACTGTGAATCAAGATCATGGCATGCCAGGAGGGGCAGAATTTCAGGGGAGATGGGGGAAGAGTTTTAACCCCATACACACCAGAGTGTCATGGTTCTGAGCCAAATTGGGACTATGTGCACTGAGAGTAGCAGGTAAGCAAATTACATGTAGTTCATGTCATTATTGTTGCACTTACACACCATCTTTCATCCTCTTGCAAGTAGTCCATATCTTCCTTCTCCATTTTATCTTCACAATAACTTTGTGGGATACATTTGGCTGAGAGTCATCAGGAAGGTTCATGGCCAAGTAGGGACTTGAACCCAGATTATTATTATTATTATTATTATTATTATTATTACATTTCTATGCCGCCCCTTGCCGAAACCTCGGGGCGGCTTACAACATGATAAAATACATTGAAATACAATAGTACATAATAAATTACCATTAAATATAACAATACAAAAAATACATTGATTTACAAATACAAAATTAAAATTATCAGTATAAAATAAAAATATAGGAGGAGAAAGAGAAGGAAGAAGAAGTTGCCCAGGCCAGATCATATGTTTTAACAATTGAAATGATGTTTAAATAAAAAGGTCTTTACCTGGCGCCGAAAAACCAGTAACGACGGTGCCAGGCGGACCTCTTTGGGGAGTGAATTCCATAGGTTGGGCGCCACCGCAGAGAAAGCCCTCCTCCGGGTACTTACTCTCCTAATTTCTTTCATGGAGGGTTCCCGGAGAAGGGACTCTCCCGCAGATCTCAAAGGGCGGTCGGGCATATACGGACGTAAGCGCTCGTTCAGGTAGCCAGGACCCAAGCCGTTTAGGGCTTTGTAGGTCATAATCAACACCTTGAATTGGGCCCAAGTCCCAGTCCAAAACTAACCATTGCACTATGCTGGCACTTTTGCTTGGACTTGTATATGGTTGAAAATTTTCTTTCAAGGTATATAACTCTAACACTGAAACATCCACCCACATTTAGGGCTCAGAAAATCATCTGGCATGGTTCAAGCCTAAATGGAATACGACAAATTAGCAACTACTGTGAAGCATGGAGGACATCAGATCTGGCAGTCATGGGACAAGCCTCTCTTCTAAAATCTGGAAAGCTCTTGGATCAAAAGTCATATAGCTGTAGCAATAGTTTTATTGTTCTTTGTATTGAAAACAGTTATATCTCAGATATTGGAAGGAAATAAATGTTCTTTATCCCCCATACTGTGTAAATTTTAAAGTTTATTACAAAAATGTTGACACTGAAATAAAAATTTTAAATGATGTAAATATTGTATCGTAATTGCATACTTTTAAAAAAGTTAATAACCAAAGAAGGCATACCTTAGAGAGGAATCTTCTTCCAGCATGGGTGAAATTCATTTTTCTGAAGCATGGCAGCCCACTTAGAAATTGGACAGGAAATGAGCCAGTCTGAGCAGCCATGTCAAAGTACCTACACAAAAGGAGACTGGTCACCACTATAAGCTTGCTTGGGATCATTACTAAAAGTGATGTAGGGATATCTAGATGGCGCATGAGCAAAGGAATACCCCCAAATGGTAGACAGCTTCAGTGGGTCTAGAACAGTTGTGTATACTGAAGAAGGGCTGTAATTGCTACTGCAGGTTCCCTACACTTTGCTGCTAGGTAGGCTTCAATAGGCTTTTCTGTTAGGTAGGGGCAATTGAACTTAAGCAGTCCATTTCTCACACATTCCACCAGCATACATACCTTAGACCAGGGTGTGAAAGATATTTCAACTACACCCAGTGAGAGTTTTGTCTCCCCACCTCCCCCCACCCCACCTTTTAACTGCATACTGTCATACCACATTACAAACTAATTTTGAAATACCCCTTCAGTTTCAAAAGCATCTGGCTCTATATCATGGCAAATGAAAAAGGGCAAGGTCCAGAACCCTCTTGGGCATAAGAAACTAGCTGCATAGTTGTTTTTTATTTTGGACCATATCAGCAGGCCATGATTTGGAAACCCTACCATGCCGTTTTCCTAAATCCGTAAATGACCTAAGTTGAAACCATTTATCTTTGCATGGGGGTAGTGCATGGAAGATGAATTTCACCCCTATGGAAACAGAATCTGACACATATTTTGGTGCTACTGTGGTCTTAAAACCTTCAAACAGTGTTGAGAGGAAATTCTAAAGGTGTAAATGATAAATATCCAAAGGGCACATAAAGAGTTTCCAATGCACACCAGGGCTTCTGGGGACCCCAATCTCACACTAGGACCCTCCTCTGCATCTCCTGAGCAGCCTCTTGCAAATCCAGGAGGCACTTCAGGATTGGCATTTGATGTAATATGACAAAAAACAGTTTGGAAAGAGAAAACGGGAAAGCCTTGATGTTCATGTGCAGTTGCTTTGGATCCCAGCCAATTTCTTGTACTTGCAAACTGTCCTCAGCTAATTTACTGACAAGCTGGGTGTCATGTGCTTATGTAGCTCATGGAAGCTTCAAACAAGCCATTTATATTGCAAGGAAAATTGTAGAAAGATAGATGTTATGTTTCTTTTCAGAGTGCTACTGGATCATTTCCCTGTAGAAATGAAATGCAGACTGACTGTTTTTCTTCTCCCGAACCCTTCCCTGTTGCATGAAATGCTAATTTCTTCAGACCTGTTGTTCCCAGTTGTTGTCAGAACTAAAAGCCTTTGCCAGCTTGACTACTTCTATATGTGTTGAACTGTAACTCCCATAATTCCTGGCCAGCATGGCCATTGGAGGAATCCAAGTTGGGGAAGGCTGAATTAATAGTTCATAGGACCAGGGCAGGCTAACTGCTGCTGCCCTCCAGTGTGCTGGGATAAAACTCTCATAAGTCCCAGCCAGTATGGCCAATGGTCAAAAGGTATGAGAATGGTAATCCAAAACATTTGGAGGGCACTAGATTTCCTAGCCTTGTCATAGGAATTGTTGACAAGCTGCATGATGTGCTTTACAAAATATTATTACCAGAGCATGTGCATGTTTGCTTCCCCTTGCTAGCCTCAGGGGGCTTCTCTACATGAGGCAGTTACTGTGTGCTTAGGATCCATTTCCCACAGAAGTGTGTGGGACCTTTTTGGGATGTCATTGTCCAGCAGGCCCTCTTCCATGTTTTCCAGCCATTTTAGCAGCTTGTTTGTAAAGTGAGAAAAGTCTGGTATCAAATTTTAAACCAGAACATAAGTCTTGTGTGGAGTTGCAAATCTACTATAGTGCAGCACTACCATGTGATTAATAACCCAGCACAAATGACATGTTTTTCAGTAATAAAAACAGAGGAAGAGGTCTTACTAAAGCAGCGGGTTGAACTTCTCATGTAGAGAAGCCCATGGTGTATTTTAACAAGCTAAATGTGTAGAATGTTCATGATACAGCACTATAAACAATAATCACTGTTTGAAAATATAAGCTATTAGCTCTACTCTAAAATGATCTAAATGATTTTTCTGTCATCAAAGCTGTAATTTAATAGCTATTTGTAAATCATAATACAGTGGTACCGCGGCTCACGAACGCCTCAGGTCACGACCAAATCGGGTCGCGAACAGAAATTTCATAAAAATTTTGCCCCAGGACGCGAACCACCTTCCCTGCACGGGCGGATCGCGGTCGTTCTGGTGGGGGGGGGGGGAGATGGCCACGTTCGTGCTGTGGGGGAGATGGCCATGATTGCACCCATGTTCCCTGCCCGAGCATGCCCATGCCTGCCTCCCCCCCATGCGCCCACCTCCCCCCTGTGCACCTGCACCTGCCCCCCCCACATGCCTTCCATCCCGCCGGTCTCCCCCCACTCCCCGCATGATCGCTGGCGGGGGGGAGATGGCCGCGATCTTTGTTGTTCTTTGTCACTTTGCTTCAAATTTTTGTGAGTAAAAAAATAGTTGCAGAACAGATTAACCTTATTTACATTGACCCTTATGGGGAAATTTGACTTGGCTTACGACCAATTTGGGTCACAACCAGAGTCCAGGAACAGTTTAAGTTTTTGAGCCAAGGTAACACTGTATGTTTCTTTCCAGGGTCGTCATCATTTGTAACCAATGTTGTTTTATATGAAGTAAAAATGTGAAATGCCATTCTATTTTTCCATTTTAATTAATATAAAAGCATCTTTCCCATTGTGTCTGGGTCAGGTGTTGTTTTTCCCCTAAATATCTTCCTCATACCAATGAGGAACAGTTGAAAAAGAAAGGTACAAAAATGTAGAATATTTGTCCCATTTTATACCAGATATCCTTATAGACACACTACTGGAGGACACACTCCTGTACATTTGTGTAGAAGAAGAAAAGTTGCCACAGGTAATTAGTCATATGAGCTTGAGAATTTCTCACGTATTGCAATTCCTTTTTAGATACAGGAACCTCATGATTATATATGTTTCCTTCAATACCAATTTGCCCTTCCTATTTGCCCTCCCACCCCTGAAATCGGCAACAGAGGCCCTCCTCTGGAAACCCTCTGTGAAAGATGTTAGGAGACAGAGTACCCAGAGGAGGGCCTTCCCTGTGGTGGCGCCCCAACTATGGAATGCGCTCCCCAGAGAGGTCCACCTGGTGCCATCATTATATGTTTTTCGGTGCCAGGTTAAGACCTTTTTATTTAATCAATATTATAATATGTTTTAATATTGAATTTTATTATTGTATTTTATTAATTTGCAGTCAGAGTGGGTCTTCAATTTATTTATGCTGATAGTCATCCAGAGATGTTAGTAATTGGACAGCATACAAACTTTATAAATAAATACATACATACATACCATTTCCCTTCTCAATACCATTACTACAAGATAAAGCATTCTTTTTCTTAGAGGGGCCTCCAAAATTCAATGAAAGGGTTAATTCATTTTCTCCTGATTAACTTCTAAAATTTCATTATCTGGGACATAACCAGTACCCTCAAAGCTCCAAATGTCCTCCTTCACCCACACACCTTCTAACAGGAACTTGGGAAAACAAGGAGTTTTGATTTGGTTACACCTGAGAGTACTTCAAGAGGTGGCAGGGATTCTCTCACGCCTGCAGGCCTCCATTTTGAGGCCTCGTGGAGAATGGATGAAGTTCCAGAGGACTGGAGGGTGGCGTCAGTGGTTCCAATTTTCAATAAGGGTAGTAGAAGGGACATGGGGAATTACAGACCTGTTAGCCTTACGTCCATTGTAGGAAAAACAATGGAAAGGCTCATAATAGGGAGAGATCTAGTGATGCTAGATAGGGAAGGGAGGCCGACAGCCACACAACATGGCTTTCGCAAAAACAGGTCCTGCCAGACAACCCTTGTGGAATTCTATGACAAGGTTTCGAGATGGCTAGATGGAGGGGATGCAGTGGATGTGGTATACCTGGATTTCAGCAAGGCCTTTGACAAAGTGCCCCATGATATCCTGGTGGAGAAACTGAGGAGTTTTGGGATACACTAAAGGATATCATGGGGCACTTTATCAAAGGCCTTACTATCCTGGGATCCACGTGAGAGAACCCCTGCCAACTCTCTAAGTACTCTTGGGTATAACCCATCAGGGCCTGGTGCCTTTGTAATATCCAATGCCCTAAGGAGCCCCTCAACTTCAAGGGGGGTGACTCTAATCTGTGCCCCTAAGTCCCCAGCTTCATCTAATCTTCTATGTGGATATCTCCCGTCCTGCTTTGGGGAGAACACAGAGGCAAAATAATCATTTAGCATCTGTGCCTGTTCCCTCATATCAGTCACAACACGTCATTGTCATTGTCATAATCTCCCAAGTTAAACTGTTTGTAGAATTTTCTCTTTGTCAGCCTTGGGTACTTTGTGTCTTGACTTGGGGAAGGAGATACCATCTGCATTTTTACTGTTCCCAAATCATCCAATGCTGAATTTAATCACTGGCAACTGCTGTTCCCTACTCTCAATGACTAGAATTAATGCATCAGGAAACAGTATCTGGTCAAAACAAGAGAAAGCTTGCCAGGAATCCTTGTGGAGATGTAAGGCTTTGTTTTTGCTTTTGAGGGAATAATGTTGCTTTATTTTGCAGAGTGGAGTTATATTTTGCCAAAAGCAAGTAAGATGACATCATTATGCTATAAAAGAGACGAACAGAACACTTATATTGGGCTGGATCCCTACTCAGTCATACTAAGAGTAGACCCATTGAAATCAGTTGAACTAAACCTGTTTATTGCACATGTTTAGTCGCAAAGTCATGTCCGACTTTTCATGACCCCATGGACAACATTCCTCCAGGCTCTCCTGTCCTCCACCATCCCTCAGAGTCTACTGAACTTACAGGGTGACAGTATACAGCCTTGCCAAACTCCTTTCTCAATTTTGAACCAGTCAGTGGTTCCGTGCCCAGTTCTCACTGTTGCTTCTAGACCCACATATAGGTTTCTGAAGAGACAAATAAGATGGTCAGGTACTCCCATCTCTTTAAGAACTTGTCACAATTTGTTGTGATCCACACAATCAAAGGCTTTAGCATAGTCAATGAAGCAGAAGTAGATGATTTTCTGGAACTCCCTAGCTTTCTCCATGATCCAGCATATGTTGGCAATTTGATCTCTAGGTTCTCTCCCTCTTCGAAATCCTGCCTGTATTTCTGGTAGTTCTCAGTCCACATACTGCTGGAGCCTAGCTTGTAGGATTTTGAGCATAAGTGTGCTAGCATGTGAAATGAGTGCAATGGTGCAGTAGTTTGAATGTTCTTTGGCATTGCCCTTCTTTGGGATTGGAATGTAAACTGACCTTTTCCAATCCTGTGGCCACTGTTGAGTTTTCCAAATTTGCTGGCATATTGAGTGTAGCACTTTTACTGCATAGTCTTTTAAGATTTTGAATAGCTCAGCTGGAATACGGTCACCTCCACTAGCTTTGTTGTTGCTCAGACTTCCTAAGGCCCATTTGACTTCACATTCCAGGATGTCTGGCTCAGGGTCAGTGACCACCCCATCGTGGTTATCAGGGACGTTAAAGCTCTTTGTTATATAGTTCTTCTGTGTAATCTTGCCACCTCTTCTTAATCTCTTCTGCCTCTGATAGGTCCCTGCCATTTTGGTCCTTTATCATGCCCATCTTTGCATGAAATGTTCCCTTCATATCTCCAGGTTTCTTAAAGAGATCTCTGGTCCTCCCTATTCTATTGTTTTCTTCTATTTCTTTGCACTGTTCATTTAAGAAGACATTCTTATCTCTTCTAGCTATTCTCTGGAATTCTGCATTCCATTTGGTGTATCTTTTTCTTTCTCCCTTGCCTTTCGCTGCCCTTCTTTCCTCAGCTATATGTAAAGCTTCCTCAGACAGCCATTTTGCTTTCTTGCATTTCTTTTTCTTTGGGATGGTTTTAGTTGCTACCTCTTGTACAATCTTGCGAACCTCCATCCATAGTTCTTCAGGCACTCTGTCTATCAGATCTAATTCCTTAAATCTATTTGTCACCTCTACTGTATATTCATCAGGGATATGATTTAGGTCATATCTGAGTGGCCTAGTGCTTTTCCCTACTTTCTTCAATTTAAGCCTAATTTTTGCAACAAGCAGCTCATGATCTGAGCCACAGTCAGCTCCTGGTCTAGTTTTTACTGACTGTATAGAGCTTCTCCATCTTTGGCTGCAGAGCACATAGTCAATCTGATTTCTGTGTTGACCGTCTGGTGATGTCCATGAGTAGAGTCGTCTCTTGGGTTGTTGGAAAAGAGTGTTTGCTGTGACCATCATATTCTTTTGACAAAATTCTACCAGCCTGTGCCCTGCTTCATTTTGTACTCCAATGCCAAACCTGCCTGTTATTCCAGTTATCTTTTGGCTTCCTACTTTAGCATTCCAATCCCACATGATGATAAGGACATTATTCTTCAATTTAAGCCTGAATTTTGCAAGAAGAAACTCAAGATCTGAGATTCTGTCCATGAGGTTTTCATGGCAAGGATACTGGAATGGGTTGCCATTTCCTTCTCCAGTGGATCACCTTTTGTCAGAGTTCTCTGCAATGACCTGTGTGTCTTGGGTGCCCCTGCATGGCATAGCTCTTAACTTCATTGTGCTATGCAAGCCCCTTAGCCACGACAAGGCAGTGATCCATGAAGGGGGAACTTAAATCCATCATGTGTAACTGTAATCCTATGTATTTCATTGGGTCTGCTTTAAGTATGACAACTTGTGCTCTCCGGGTGTTGTGGCACTGCATCTCCTATCCAACTATGACCAGCATCAGCAATAGTGAAAGATGATGGGGCCTGTAGGGCCCACTCCTGCATGTAGTCTCAGAGGATTTGTTTAGTGTGAGTGTGTGTGTGTGTATAAAATGGGGTGGAAGGCCCAGGGTTGTGACTTACAGTACATGTGAATAGGGCTGTCCACCAATAAGTTGCTACTTGAAATGGCTAGGAGAGCCAATATGTATAAAGCTTTGTGTGGTTTAATGATGTTTCTTTTGTCTTTTATAGTGCTCAGTTTTATTTTGGGTAACAGGTACAAAGCTTGTTGGTCTTCCCTGGTATATGAGCGGTTTGTTTGTCACCTAGATGAAA